ATTTATTACAAAATTGGTATATCTCTCATAACCATATTTCTCTAAATTTTACTATTGATTCTTCGTTTCTCAAAATATATGCACTTTTTCTCCCACAAAAAATCGCATCAAATATTATTTTAATATTAAACACAAACCAATTTTTCTCAAACTCACTAAAAAAAACACAACCTAAATGACTCATTTTAAAAGGGACAGAATGGGTATTCTATTTTAATTTATTTTTTACCTACAACCCATTTTAACGTTAAAATATTGTTCTTTTAGTTTTCATGCCGAATCAAATTTATACTCCTTCCGTCATACAAATGTGTACCCATTTGATCGGATGCGGATTTTAATAAAAGTGAACAATAATTATTAATTTTTTTTTATAATAAAAAACAGTACAAAAGTGAAATAATTTTTTACTTAAAAAGAAAAATAAGCATATTTTTCGATGATAACTCAAAAAAGAAAATGAACATAGATTTGAACGACGGAGGGAATATAATTTTACTTTTACTGAAAGGAGGGAATATATTTTAACCTGAGTCAAACTTTGGTTAGTCGAGTTTGAATCCGTTGAATTAGACAAATTTCTACTATATACGAATAAAGTCAACTTATTTAGCAATTTTATTAATTATTACAAGTGAAATTTATTCACTTGAAAATTTATTCAACAATTTTTATCATCTCCCACTCACTTTTCCCTAGTATGAATAAGTCAAATTTAAAAATTAAAAAATATAAAAATATATTGTTTTTCCTTTGAAATTATATTATTCTTTATAAAAACAATTATACACACTTTAGATAAAAATACAATATACTCCCTCCGTCCCGCCCATTGAAAGGTTACTATTTTTTATTTTCGTCCGTCCCAAAACAAGGTTACTATTTCCTAATTTAGTAATTGTACTACCTACTTCACATAATAAATACCCTTTTAACTTACAATATATTACACAAATGTCATTACTTTTATATTATACCATACTAATAGAGGTATTTTTGTCTTTTTTTACTACAATACAATATAATACTAATATTAAAAAATCTTCTTGCGGAACGGAGTGAGTACTATTTTTGTTCGGGAAGAATTTGACGTATTTGATTAGTGATACAATATTTAAAATAATAGAGTTAAATTAATGATAATAATTATGATATTATTTTTATTTTTTATATGAATAATATAGTTGATATAAATGATGTGTTGTTTATATCCATACCATGATGTGTATAATAATGCACAGTAATTACAACTATCAAGACAAATATCCTGTCCATCCCACATAATTTGTCTCTATTTTCTATTTATGTTCATCGCACATCACTTGTACACTTTAATTACATTTTAAATTTTAAATTTTAAATTTTATAATTTTTTTAATTTTAATCAAATTATTTACTTATTTTAATCTTAATTTATAATTATTTTTACTAATACACTTCCTAATTACTTATTAATTATATTTTATATAAATTTTCATATCTATAATAATAAACCCAAAATATCTTAGAGATGGAATACTGTATAAAATAATATCATGAATAACAGAATATTAATAAATAAGGAAAATAATAATCTCTCCGTCCCACATAATTTGTCACTATTTTATATTTTCGTCCGTCCCACGTAACTTGTCATTTCTATTTTTGGAAATATAATTATGCACTTTAATCGCATTTTAATTTTTAAATTTTATAATTTTCTTAATTCTATTTAAACTATTTATTTATCTTAATCTTAATCTATAATTATTTTTACTAAATAATAATTATTTTTACTAATACACTTCTTAATTACTTACTAATTATACTTTACCTAAATTCTCGTATCTATAGTAATACAACCATATTACATTAGACGGAGGGAATAGTAAATCGTAATTTATTTCTGGTCGGAAGTGTAGGACAGTAGGCCATTGTCGGGGTTGTGTTTCCAAAAAAAATTTGAAGTTAAATACTCTACATCATGATTAATTATACTTAAGTAAAATATAATTAAAAATATATATTCCCTTCGTTACAATACAATAGTTTTATTTACTATTTTTATCTGTTTTAAAAAATAGTTTTATTTTTATAAATAATCATATCACTATAAAAGTACTCTTACTTTTTTATTATTATTACACAATTGCTACTACTTTTTACGCTAATACACTCACAAAGGTAAAAAAAGTCTTTTACCCATGTTTTCTACCCACTATAGTTCTAGGACGGAGGGAGTATTGTTCTCTCCGTCTCGGCTATCGTGTCTGTTACTCTCTCCTTGTCGTTTATTGTGTTTTTTTTTTACTATAGGTATGAGAATTTAAAAGAAGTATAATTAGTAAATAATTAAAAATATATTAGTAAAAATAATTATTTTATTATAAAAATAATTTTATATTAAGATTAAGATTAAAACAAATTTAAAATTTAATTTTAAAATATGATTAAAGTGTATAATCAATTTTTTTAAAAAAGAAATGACAAATTACGTGGGACGGATGATTATTTTTAATATATAATAATTATTTTTACTTATACTTCTTAATTATTTACTGATTATACTTTACCTAAATTCTCATATCAAATTATCATATCTATAATAATATATCCATATTATTTAGGATAGAGAAAGTAACATTTTAAGTGTACGGTTTCTCTTATATTATCTCTTTAATTTTATTCAAAAATAAAAACCCGGTCATTTTATTCTTTCATTATTTTCATTCAAGATTACTTTAATTTTATTTTTTAATAAATAAATACTTATATTTATATTACAGTTCTCTACTTATTTAAAAATACTATTAATTTATATTAATTATAAATAAATAAAAATATTTTTTATTCAATTATATTATAAAAAAATTATTTTTTATAAAATGTTATGAGAAATAGACAATAGTGTTTAAATAATAAAATAATATCGTTAATTTATTAAATTATATTTTTTTTAAATATTAAATTATATTTTTTTATATTTTTCTTAAATTAATTATTATTTGAAGCAATTTAATTTTATTTACACTTAATTATCAATTTAAAAAGTATAATTTTTATTTACACAAATCATTTTGTAATCCCTTTGTCCCGCAGTCTAGTGTAATCGAATTACTATAAACACAAAAATATATGTTTAGTTTAAATTAAAATTAAACTAATTAATACATCTAATTAAAATTAAATTTTTTTTAATAAAATTAAAATATATAATTATTTTTTTTAAAAAAACAATGACATAAAATGCGAGGTAGAAAGCAGTAAATAGGACGAAGAAAATATATTTCCTCTGTTCCACTTAATTTGTCTATTTTTTTTATTTTTCTCCGTTTCACATAATTTGTCATTTGGAAATATAATTATATATTTAATTGTATTTTAAAATTCATTACTTATAAAAAAAATATTTTAATTAAACTATTTAGTCATTTTAATATATAATTATTTTTATTAAATTATAATTATTTTTATTAATACACTTTTTAATTAGTTACTCGTTACACTGTACTTAAAACTTGTGTAAGCTAAAAGAGTATTTTATAATTGATCACTCTATTTGTCCTGAACTAATTTACTCCCTCCGTCTCAAAAGATTTGTCTTTGTTTTTCTATTTTCGTCCGTCCCAAAACAATTGTCTTGTTTCCTTATTTAGTAACCGTGGTTCCCACTTTATAACAAAATTATTTATACTTTTCCATACTACCCATAATTATTACTCTAACATACTTTTTAAAATCCTTTAAAAACCAATGGCATTTTAGTCATTTACATTCTACTTTATACCCACTCTCAATTAAATACTGTTATTCCTTAATTTTTGTGCAATCTCTCGATAAGACACCTTTTTTTTTTGGACAGAAGGAGTATTTATTATATTATTAAAATTATATATTTATTATATCATCGGATTATATAAATATAAAATACTTCCTCAATCTCATTTACCACTATCATGTTCATTTTTCTATTTTTTGCCTCTGCTTATTTTGTCATTTTTATTCTTTTGGAAAAGAATTTTATACACTTTAATATCAGTTAAAAAATTTTAATATATGATTTTTTTAAAATTATATTAATTAGTTATTTTAATCTTAATAAAAAATTATTTTTATTATATAATAATTAGTTTTATTAATACATTATTGATTATTTACTAATTATATTCTGTCTACCCAAATAAAGATAATATATATATATATTCAAATAATCCCTTTGTCCAAAAAAAAAATGTCTTATTGGGAGTGAGACGAGAATTAAAGAATAATAATATTAAAAGTGAACATAAAGTAGAAGGTAAAAGATTAAAATACTCTTGTTTTTCGAATTATTTTTAAAATAAGTTAAACTAATAATTATGGGTAGTTTAGAAAAATAGGAATAATTTTATTATAAAGCGAGACCACGATTACTAAATAAGAAAACAAGACAACGGACGAAAATGAAAAAACAAGACAACTCTGTTGGGACGAAGATAGTATATAACAAAAATACTACTCCCTCCCGTCTCATAACTAAATATCCATTTGCTTTTTGCACATAGTTTTAGAAATATAAGTATTATATTTGAATGTAGTAGAAATAAAATATAAATGACTTAAATAACCTTATTAATACGTCTGATATAAATGTAATGATATTTGTGTAATATATTGTAAATTGTAAAAGTATTTATAATGTTAGATAAACAGTATATTACTAAAAAAATAATATTTTATTATAGAACGAAGTAAAATAGAAAAATAAAAAGTTTATTATTACGAGATAGGAATGTACTCCCGATATAGTAGTAAAAGCAAGACGTGTAGGAGTAATAAATAGAAATGTACTGAAGGAGTAATAAATATTCGTAAATCCAAACGCAATTATTAATAAATAAATAGATAAATAAAAATTCGTCACCTTCTTTTCAGTTCAGCCCTCCATGTCTGTGGGGTCCACACCTGCCTAAGGCAAAGATGATATTATCATTTTACTGACTGACTGATTGTGTGTTTCTGTGTCTCTCTCTATATATTTCTCTCTGTGTATTTGAGGTGAGGTAAGGTCGGCATCCATGGCGGGTCAGCCTTTCCACTAACCCTCAATTACTCGCTCACTCTTTTGCTTTATTCCTTTTCTTTTCTCTCTCTCTCTCTATCCGTCCTTAAAATTATCATTCCAATCCCAATTCATCCCCCCCTTTCTCTATCTTCCCATCATCAATCATCAGGAAGACAAGTGATGAAAACCACCACACGATCTATCTAATTGAAATTTTGGAATTGGACAGAGATATAATATAAGCGAGTTCTTCGTCGTCATCTTCTTCTTCTCCTTCTTCTTTCATTATTTTGTAATACAAAAACACGGCAATGATTCTGTGGCACATGTGAGAGAGAGAAATAAAAATAGAGAGAGGTAGTTTGCCTGATTCTCTTCTCTTCGCTCTTCGCGCTTATCCCCTCCAATCTCAAATTATTCTCTGTTTTTCTCTTCCCGATGATTTTACTCTGATACATACACACAGATTCTGATTCTGAAGCGGTTTTGATCTGATCGCTTCTCTTTAATTTGTTTGTTTTGCAGAGCAGTAGCGAAAGCGACATCTCACCGACCGCCGAATATTCGTTGTTCGAGCCTGTGATTTGCCCAATCGATGAAGATGACGATGATGATAGAGGATTCCTTTCTGATGATTTGAGAGATTTCTGCCACTGCGAGGCTGTTGATCTTTCCAGTTAGGTAATTTTGTTCTTCCTGTTAGAAAGGTTTCTGGAGTATTCTAATCTATAGGTTTTTGGATTTCTCTAGAAAGTCAGCTAGTTTTCTTTGAATTTCTGATCTCGCAGAAACCGTCAATTAGGGTTTCAGAATCATCGCCTCAAGTTAAGAAATGTTTAGACACTGAAAAACTTTCGATACTAATCAAGTGTGGACGAGATTTGTGGATTGGTGATGATGGAGAAGCAAACGAGCTTCCGTACGCTGGAGAAGCAGCAGAGTTTCATGGAGAAGCAGAAGAGCTTCAGAGGATTAATGGAGAAGCAGAAGAGTTTCCGTATAGCAATGGAGCGCCAGCTCAGCTTCGGCGGCGACCGCCGGAGGAGCAAAGATTCTCCCGGTAAGCGCGGCGATTCTCCGCTGCATCTCGCCGCTCGGTCGGGAAATTTGGGGAAAGTTAAAGAAATCATTCAGAAATCCGCCGGCGCCGGCGCCAAGGATTTGCTGTCAAAGCAGAACGGCGAAGGCGAGACTCCTCTCTACGCTGCCGCCGAGAACGGCCACACGTTGGTCGTCGGCGAGCTTTTGAAGCATTCCGACGTCGAGACTTCGTCTATTCCCGCGAACAATGGCTTCGATCCGTTCCACGTCGCCGCCAAACAAGGCCATCTCGGTACTCTCCGATTTCCCCTGCCTCCATTGAAGCCGCCGTAGTTTCGAACAAAATTAATCCGTTTATAAATCTGCAGAGGTGTTGAAGGAGCTGCTGCGGTTCTTTCCGAGCTTGGTGATGACGACGGACTCGACGAATTCGACAGCCTTGCACACGGCGGCAGCGCAGGGGCACGTCGACATTGTCAATCTGCTTCTCGACATCGACTCAAACCTTGCCAAAATTGCGCGAAACAACGGCAAGACCGTGCTCCACACGGCCTCCCGAATGGGCCATTTGCAAGTGGCCAAGGCTCTATTGGAAAAGGATCCGACCATCAGCTTCAGGACCGATAGGAAAGGCCAGACTGCATTGCATATGGCCGTCAAGGGACAGAGCGTCGAGATCGTCGCGGAGCTGATCAAACCCGATCCGTCCGTGCTGCGGTTGGAGGATAACAAGGGGAACACGTCGCTCCATATCGCAACGAGGAAGGGCCGTAATCAGGTTACGGCTATACCTTCATTTATAATCGACGCCTTATTAAACGAGTCGACTATAACATATCTGCGATGCTTTGCGTTCGACAGATTGTGGAATGTTTGATACAAAACGAGGGTATCGACATAAACGCGACTAACAGCATCGGGGAGACGCCTCTAGACATCGCCGAGAAGTTTGGAACGCCGGAATTGGCGGCCATTTTGAAACAAGCCGGAGCCGTCCATTCGAAAGATCACGGGAAGCCACAGAGCGCGGCGAAGCAGCTGAAGCAGACGGTGAGCGACATCAAGCACGACGTAGAGTCGCAACTCCAGCAGACGCGCCAGACCGGGTTCCGCGTCCGGAAGATCGCAAAGAAAGTGAAGAAACTCCACATCGAGGGCCTCAACAACGCCATCACCTCCGCGACGGTCGTGGCAGTCCTCATCGCGACGGTAGCGTTCGCCGCGATCTTCACCGTCCCCGGCCAGTACGTGGAGGAGGAGACGCCGGGGTACTCGTTGGGGGAGGCCCACATAGCCAACGACACGGCGTTCCTCATCTTCATCCTGTTCGACAGCGTGGCGCTGTTCATCTCTCTGGCCGTGGTGGTGGTGCAGACGTCGTTGGTGGTCATCGAGCACAAGGCGAAGAAGCAGCTGATGTTCGTGATCAACAAGCTCATGTGGCTCGCCTGTCTGTTCATCTCCATCGCGTTCATCTCCCTCACCTACATCGTCGTTGGCCCCCACGAGCAGTGGCTGGCTGTTTACGCCACCGTGGTCGGAGGCACGATCATGACGGCCACGATCGGGTCGATGTGCTACTGCGTGGTTCGCCACAGGCTAGAGGATTCGAAGATGAAGAGTGTTAGGAGGAACGGGACTCTTTCGCGGTCCTTCTCCATGTCTATGGCGTCGGACCCGGAGATGTATAGCGAAAGGTATAAGAGGATGTACGCCGTGTAGACAAGGTTAGGTATATACGTCGGATGTAAGCTCGAATTTGTCGGACGGGCGCTCGGAAGCGAACTTTCCGGAAACTTCTATACAACACAATATATATCCCTCTCTCTCCGTATATACATATATACTTGCAATATATGTACGGTAGGAGATCAAGAGGTTCCTATTAGCCATAGATGTTTTGTATATAAAATAAGTATCGAATCGAAAGGTCGAAATCTAAAACTACATTATCTTATCAACAATTAAACTAAAAACTAATTGCTTAGTTAAAATTAAATCAATACATGATCAACGATCATCTCATCTCATCTCTAGAGGATAAGAAGGAATGAAAATAATATACCTCTTATATATGTATATTTTGCTGCATGAAATAATTATCGACGAATGTTCAATACGTGTTAGTGAGATCTCCGGTTGGAACTTCCGCTGCGCTTTGTGCTACCATTGCCCTTCGGGTTCGCGGAAAGATCCCCCAAGAAGTTGCCTTTCGAATTCACGCAAATATCGCCCGAGAAATGGTGCTGCACAATTGTTCGATGAGTCCTCGCCTCCGTCGAGCAACTTCCTCGTACGGACACTAACAGAACCACTTCTTTATCCTGAGTGTCCTCGCACCACCAGCTTTGAGGAAACCCGTCACCGCCGAGCTCTTCCTGCGCATGGAAGTCTTCGTGCCGTATCGAGATCTCTATAGCTTGATCGGGATTTATCATGCCGGCAGCAGGAAAGACCTGTAGGACAAATTCGATCGATAATAATAATTTCCGGAATTCGTAGTCTTCGAAAACCAATTTTGCGATATGTACATAGGAAACATACCTCGAGCCATCGAGGCAAACCGAGTGCGCCTCTGGGGAGGACATCGGAAGCTACTTCGTCCTCTGCCGCGATCGATTGGCCGAGACATCTAATTTCAAAGAAAACGATGTCTTTCCCGCTTCTGTTAGTGATTTTCAAACCGGATGATTCGTGGTTCTGTAGAGTGATTCTTTCGGCACTGATGCTCGTTTCGGGAACAAATCGAAGTGCTTCTCGGCTGGACCGTATATTATCGTTCGACTGAAGTATAGTCCCGAACTCTTCCCTCCTTATTGATCGATCGACATGAGCAATTTCCAAATGGAACTTGCAGCGCACCGGCTTATGATCGCTTTCAGTCACGTCCATGCACGCCCCGTACCTTCGACACCAATCGAACAAAACGATTATTACAAAAAACTAAGGTATCTCAGATCGAAACATAATCGAGGCAACGTACAAGAACCTACTCGAATATAGAAGCCACAATAGGGCAGACGAGGCTACATTGTTCGAGAGGGAATGATCGGTTGTCCCGATACAATACTCTATCACACCATGCCGGGATTCGCTTCTTCTCACCCGAATCATACCCTACGCGAACAAAATGAAAGGAATCACACGAGTTTTTGCCTATAATCGCAATCCAAGCGATAAAAAATAGTTCTCGAAATGGAACTAATCGACTAACCATCAATCCAAAGTGCAAGACATTACCTCCTAATCCAGGCTTTCCGCGTTCGAATTTATAAGTAGGCGGGAATTTGATGATCGCCTCGCGCATTCCTTGAAAAGCTTTACCAGCCTTCATCTCAGCTCTCAGCTGATCTTTCTCGCGGAGCCAATCGAAGCTCCTTTGAGAAACGAAGTCTCTAGCTTCGTCGTATGAGATACCGAATAAGCGATAATTAAAATCGCCGAAGAAAATGACCATATCTGCTTCAGCAAGATCTGGCCTGTCCTCATCAGGAGTTTCTTCTGTGACCTATAGAAGTAACAAAATCGCAATAAGACGATAATCGAAAATAAGAAAGCAGAAAAGGGAAGAAGTCGTGGTCGACATTCAAAATACAAAAACACGGCGTACATTTGGGGAGCGAAGCATCTGAGCAGCAGATGAAACGCTGGCTGCAATACAGAGGATCCATGGCCAGCCACAAGAATAAAGCAGCCAAAATAAATACGTGGAGAAGACAATAGTGCAAGACAAGTACAGGTTGCGCAGCATACCAGCAGCGTTGCCGAGATTGCTAGATGCTCGGATGAAATTCATCGTCCGATATATATGATCGAAATCAGCGTTTCGACGATTCACTGCTTCCAAATGAGCAGCTAGATGACAGTTCACGAAACATATGATTCGATCGAATACCCTCAATCTCAAACCAACCCCTCCCTGCATTTGTCGAAAGTATCGAACTGATTTACATCGTGCTTGTTACGAGAAAAAAATAGACCTAAACTTTGATCGGGAAATGAAACAACCTCGTTACCTTGTTCCCAATTGCGCGGCCGAATCCACAAGCAACTGCTGCGACGTCGAGATCCCCAACATGAGTCCGGAGAGTCTTTCTCACCCTGAGAAGAACAACAGACAAATGATCAGAAGATGTATATAAACAAGAACTATGTTAGAACTTTATCGAACGAAATTATTGGCAGAATTTGCATCGGTATGATAGTTATAGGCTTCAACAATTCTATTCATACATCGAAAATGCGATGAACACAGCAGCAATGCGAAAATATACCATATTGCTATCATTAGACCAGCCAATTGCCGAGAACCCACACGTTCGAATATAGATTCTTCGTCCAAAACTTCACCTATGCGATCTTGCCACCACTGGCCGGTAGCACTTCCTTCGATCCCTACCTAAAATAACCGATAGCTGTTATGATGAAATCGAACATTTATGAAGTGGTATTCAAATCTATAAATGTTTAAAGAAACTCTTAAACATTTCTTACTTACGCTTTCTTTCGCGGCAGACATCGCTAGAAAACCAGCTCCCATTTCGACTTCTTGCAGTCCAACAACTACGATGCCAACATCCGATACTGCAGAACCGAGCCACGACTTGATGGAATCACGAGAAGCCTTTTCTTGGCCAACATTCCATGTCCCGACTAAGATTCTTATATTCTCCAACCTCGTATACGTCATTTCTTTGTCAGCTAATTCAGATCGAACTATGCTATCCACTTGTTCTGGCGACGAAATGTTCCATCCCCGTATACCACCATGAGTTGCCAAACTATAAATCGAACCATTGCCTACGACTAACTTTATAACCGATCCATTATGCGCCACCCAGCTTGCAAGAAGCTTTCCTTCAAGGTCGAGCAACTGCACCATACCGCTCACGTAGCCAACCCATATTCTCGACCCGTACGAGCAAAAGCATAGAATACCACAAGGATGATGAGTGAAGTCTTGCAAACGGTTGCCATTCCCATCCCATTGGATCAATAAGCCATTCGAAGATCCGGTCCAGATAGAGCCGTTGGATGCAAGCACTATAGCTTCTGTTTTCTTCTCTTCGGTAAAACTCCCCTTTGTTGCTCTGCGAACTGCGTCTGCAGCGCCTATTAAAGCGTTCCGAGACCGCTGCAAAAAGCTTTGCGATTTCTCCTTCTTAGGCTTCGAAACGACCTTAACATTTGTCTCATCTTCGCACCCTTGATCTTGAGCTGTTGGCGTCTCGACTCGATTCTCCACCTGGCCCTCTATGTTGAATACTTTTAGAAGCTCTCGTGTACGAGCATCCCTGTTGAACCAAATAATCACCGAGTAAATTGCCAAGAACGAACAATACATATTGTAGTAACTATAATTTGATATAACTTGGATTAGAACAGACAGAAGATGCAGATTAGAACAGTACCATAGCGAGAAGGCCATAGAACAAACACCCCAGATTCTGCCTCGGACGTTATCGGATAGCAAACACTTAACATCGGAAGAAGGAATACTACAAGGACCACTATTCGCAGCTTGGCTTTTGAGATCAATAATCGATTTCTCGACCAACAGAGAAGCCATATGTTTTTCCTCCGGCGACATAGACATTGATTTTTCCACAGCTTCCCATGGCCAGACTTTTATGTATCCATTCTCAGTCCCCGACCAGATATCGCCTATAGATCCACGCCATAAAGTTACTTACGAAACGAAATTAAATAATAGGATTTTGAAAGGACCTTATAGAATGAAAAAGGATTCACCATAAGAAGAAATCTCCAGGGCAAGAACAGGATTTCGATGCGCCTGCCAGGAAAGACATTCCTCGAAAGTATTGTCATCGGAGAGCTCAAGATCCATCTTCCAACATCGGATTCTACCGTCTTTATGCCCACTCCACACCAATTTAGCCCCTTGATCGACAACCATACACATTGCTGGGGATGTGCTTGTTGATTCGCAAAATGGAGCTGCATCCTCGTCGCCTCTCGGCAACCTCCCTCCAACCCCAAGCCCCGGCTTGTATGTATCCGAATAGCTCCATACTCTCACTCCTGATTCCAGCCCTGCCCATAGCTGTGTTTCTGTGCTGGCGATTGTCCGTAGAAATCTTCCGACCTGGATAGCATCGACATATCGAAATGGATTTTAGAGAGAACGGAATATCACTTAGCTAAGAACAAACTAACAGCAGAAGCTTAGCATCTCATTACTAAATTGTGGTTAGCATCAATGGCGTTTCAGGCAATTCATCATTCAATTAGGTTACAACACCTGAACAATTTGAAATTCTCACAGGCAATTCAACAAGTTTGCAATCCATGGTGTTCAAGCTATGTCGATGATGTTATGTATGAAGTCACTGGTCGAATTTATGCTACAGATCGAAATAAATGCACTGCAAAAAAGCAAGGGGAAAATACTACGTACCTGAGTTTCCCTCAGAGGGTGTGGCCGGAGTTCGACGCACGGCGGGCGGCTAGGGTTCACCGGCGCTCTCTTCGGCACCTTAAATATTCCTGCTCCACCGCCGCTCGCCGTAAACTCCGTCAGCGGACAATTCTGAGAGCCATCGCCGCCGCCGTCCTCCGCTGCACCCATTCCCTGGCTATACTGACGGTAATCGACGAGGCGATCACTGACGAACCCCACGGGACCTGACGTCGCGGAACGAGGATATATCCCGGCGCCGCTCTCGCCGCCGGCGGGATGGTGGTTCGAAATCCGGTTCTCGTTGAGGCTCCGGTTCCGGAGCTGGTGGTGGCGCTTGTGGTTCGTGCCGGTGCTCGTCCTAAGCTGCTGGCTAATCGATTGCGCCTTCCGGCGCGGCGGCGAGTCGGATATCCCCGCCAACGCCAGCCTGTCGTCCTCCTCCATTTTCGATTAGGGTTTGCCCTTCCTCCAGAACTTTTTTCATAACCGTCGCAACGGAATCTCTGCGCAAGGTTAGGGTTACCGAATTTCCTAAGGAAAAAGTCAGAATGGGAGAGTGAAAGCATTGCGGTGGTTGGTGGTGGCATTCCACCGCCCGGAGAAGGCGGCGGAAGACGCTGCAAATGTACGGACAGGAATTTCCCTCCATTTCCCATTCCCAATTTTTCAAAAATCAAATTCAGCCATTAGAACAATCACAAGCTATTTATAGTGCTACAAAAGTAATCAAATTCAAAAATCAAAAATCAAAACCTAAACATCAATCAATTCTTCTTCAACAATAATCTGCAATTCAATTCCTCCACAAACCGATCAAAGTTCCTACGTGAAGATCCATTACTGCTTTCCCATGCATTCTTCAAAACCTCCCTTACTTTCTTCACCTCTTCCTTCAACAACACACATTCATTACCTTCCATGATCATCTCAATCTTCCTAACAAACTCCTCCCTACTAACCTTCTCTTTGTCGCAAAGATTAATCCCAATTCTCCAATCATCGACGACAAGCTTCCTATTCGTCGGCTGGTCGACTAACAACGGATGGCAGATCATCGGCACTCCGCTCCATATGCTGTCAAGAACAGAGTTCCATCCACAATGAGTCAAGAACGCGCCGACAGAAACGCTACCAAGGACGGCATTTTGGTTGCACCACGGGACTATAATCCCCCGGTTTTGTACATCGTCGAGGAATCCATCGGGGAAGGCATTTTTGGTGCCATAATCTGTCCTGAGGACCCAAAGAAAGTTGACTTGAGTTAAAAGAAGGCCATGAGCTATCTCCCTGAGCTCATGCTCGTTGATTCGGGCGATGCTGCCGAATGAGATGTAGAGGACTGAGCCGGGAGGCTTGGAGTCGAGCCAATCCGTGCAATCTGATCGCGGCCAGAGGGTGATCTTGTCGACAAGATGCTTGTGGACATGGCTGATGGAGGAAGTGATGGGGCCGACGGCGAAAGTTGGGTGGCGGTGGTTGAGGGCGGAGAGGGCCTCCGGTTCGAGTTCTTGGACTGTGTTGCAGAGGATGAAGTCGGCATTTTTGACCTGTTGGAATGCCGTGACGGCGATCTTTGTGACCCCTGGTAGTGCCTTCGGTTGCCGGATGTAGGACATGAGGTCGTTGGTGCTGATGCTTCGGACTCCTGGAATGTAGTCTATTCGACTCTCTCCGGAAGCTGCGGCCAGACGACGACGTGATGTTCATGTATGAGAAGGTGAAATTCAGAAGAGATGAAACTTTTTGAAAGGTTTTTTTTATAACATGGAACTTGCATCCGCTCCCTAATGCTTGCAAACTAGGCCCAACACAAATTATAGGCTAACAAATTAGGTCCAGACGAATCAGCGAATCATGTGTGACAAATGAATTTAAAATTGCGAAGATTTGAACTCACGTGGTCACAAGTTTATTTGTATAATTATAATAGTTGCTTATAAAAGATTAGTATTGAATGCGGATTTGGTTGCCAAACTAATGTTTTTAAGACATATTTCCTCCATCCTATAGTTTCTGTCGGTCCCATGTCTCAATGTCACTTTCCTTTTTTTTTTTTTTTAAAAAAAAATAATTATCTATTTTAATTTTTTTTTAAATTTCTTAATTTAATTTTTTTAATTTTAATTAAACTAATTAGTTATCTTAATCTCAATTTATAATAATTTATATTATATATTAATTATTTTTACTAATACATTATTAATTATCTACTAATTATACTTATCCTAAATTATCGTATTTACAGTGACCAAAACACCAATTATGGACGAAGATAGTAATTTTCAATATATATAATATTTAATATTATTTTTAATATTAAAAGGCATCATTTATATTATTTCAGATTAAGAAAATAACTCAAATTAAAATACTTAACAAATAAAAAGTCCTATATTTAAAAGATAAAATTATAAAATTAAATATTTTATTAGGTCGTTTAAAGTAAATAGGGTGTGTTTGTTTTATGTTTTGGTTTAAAAGTACTTTTATAAATTATAGAAAATTATGCAAATAATATAAAAATAATAATTGTATGTAATATATAATTTTTTTTTAAAAAAAATATTTAATTTTTTTTAATAAAAAATCATAATTCCTCGAGAAAATATTAATAAAGTCTAGGTATAGCTCAAATTTCATTTTTTCTTTAAATTTCTTTATATTTTACTATAAAGTATCTTCTTAAAAATATACAATTATTTACCTATTGAATTTTAAATTTGAAAGTTAGACTAAATATAGTTTATGTAATTATTGTTTGATATATTATATAATATATATAATTAAAAGAAATATATGATATGTATTTAAATATTTTAACAATTAATATTTTAATAAAAAAATATATAATTTAAATATTATTTTGTAGAGAATAAAATTTTATATAATATAAATAAATAAAAAGTATAAATATTTATTTATGAATAATATAAATTAATTTTATAGAAAGTAAAGATTTTTGAATATATATATACATTTTTTATTGAAGAAAGAAATATAAACCCAATTTTTTTTTGAATAAATCTCGTATGATGTAATATTTGGAAAAAAAAGAATTAAATTATAATATCAACCAAAATTATTTTATTTAGTTGTGATTTGAAATTGATTTAAAATGAATATTGATAAGAATTTTTGTTTAAATAATATTTTGATACAATATTTTGTCAGAAAAAAATAATATATTTTTATTATATTTTGGATTCAAAATTTAAATAGTAAAAATTTTGAATTAAACTAATTGTAAAATATAATATTTTGAATATAAAATTACTTATTTCAGTTTTATATAACAAATAAAAAATAAATATTTAATTTAATAGTTTGAAGAAAAAAAAATGATGACTAATTAAATTTTAGTAAAATTTGATATACATTCGTTGGATTTCAATGATTATAGCAAAATTAAAAATGGTTCAACAGAACACTTATAATAATTAATTATTTTTTGTATAACTATTCCTCAGCCAAATGTACATTTGCTATTTTCATTTCTCCTTTTATTTAAAAGGTATATTTATTTAATGTAATATTTATTTAAAATATACGGTAAGGGTGTGTTTGTTCGGGGGATTGAATTGAATTTACACTATTTATCCAATTTTTTTTCCCCAAAAATATCAAATTAAACACTTATTTTTTATTTTTTATATTATACTAAAAATCAATTTTACATTCAAAACATCACATCAACACCTATTTATATCACATTATACCACTATTCAAATTCAAAATTTTTACTATTCAAATTCAAACTCAAAATCCAAACTCCAAAACAAAGTTGTATGATGTGATATAAATAGGTGCTGATGTGATGTTTTGAATGTAAAATTGAATTTTAGTTCAATAGAAAAAAATAAAAAATAGATATTTAATTTGATGTTTTTGAAGAAAAAAAAAAGAAATGAACAGTGAATTTAAAATCCAATCTTCCAAACAAACACACCATAAATGTTTCTTTTAACACAATTTTAACTATTTAAAAAAATTGAATTTTTTCAAATATATATATTTATTTACAAAATATACATGAAATATGGTTCTATAATGCAATGAAGTGATTTTTTATTTTTTTTACGTGTTATAAAGAATTATTTCAAAAAAAGTATAAAATATATTGGTTAGTGTAGATAGAGGAATTTAGGATAAATATAATTAGTATATAATTAATATATAATATAAATTATTATAAATTAAAATTAAAATAATTAATTAATTTAATTAAAAAATTTAAAATAAATTAAATACTTAAATTAAGTGTTTGATTTAATATTTTTTTAAAAAAAAAAATTAAAAATAAAATCTTACAAAGCAGCCATTGTTTCAAATTTATTTGACATTTTAGGCAACAGACTGAATGCAGAGAGATTGGTAGAAATGGAGATCGAGATCAGTAAAGTAAACTTACCAGCAAAGTTGGGGAAATGGCCGTTCTCTCTCAGTAGATCCAAGTGGTAGTTTATAGAGAACACCGTCGCCGGCTCCGTCCAGAACGTCACGTTCACCAGGCCGTATTTCTCGGCGACGGCAGCCGGCCACGAGAACAGAGAATCCGCAACCAGGACGAACTTCGCCGCCGGGTAAGATCTCGTAATCCTTCCGATCACCTCATCCGCGCGGCCGGCGAAATCGTTAATCAAGCTTTCTCTGAACTCCTCGCTCAGACGCCGGTTGAAATCGAGCGGAAAGCCGTCGGAAATCGTGGCGCACCGTATGTCAAGGCCGGAGAAATTGAAATTGAAGTCGCCGAATTTGGAGGCGGCGTTGTGAACGAATTCGGTGAGGACGCAAGTGACGACGAAGCCGCGGGAGGCTAGCGCGACGGCGAAGTTTAGCGTCGGAGAAATGTGGCCTTGGAAAGGGTACGGAAACACGATGGCATGGCGGTGGCTGTGGGAGTTGTTTGACTCGCCCATTTTGAGTTCTTCGCAGCAGCTCTTCCGCCTTCGTATTTAAAGGTACACACCTTTTTTCTGTTTTTTTTGTCCAAACACGTCCTCGCCTCAAACTCCAGTAGCCTATCACTGATCTCAACCTTATTTAAATATTACTAATAACCTTCCCTAGCATAACTATAATTTTAATTGAATTTAAAAAATATTAATATTTTATTAGTAATTGGTAAAAAATATAAATAAAAAATTTATATTAATGTAAAAAATAGCGAAAAATATATAATATAAGAAAATAATGATAATTTGATGGTAACATAGTTATTTATGGGTGTGTTTGTTTGGGAGTTTGGATTTTGAGTTGAGATTTGAATAGTAAAAATTTTGAATTTGAATAGTTGTATGATGTGATATAAATAGGTGTTGATGTGATGTTTTGAATGTAAAATTGATTTTTAGTATAATATAAAAAATAAAAAATAGGTGTTTGATTTGATGTTTTTGGGGGGAAAAAATTGGATGAATAGTAAAAATCTAATTAAATCCCCCAAACAAACACACCCTATATAAATAAGACTATTATTTTTTAAACGGACAAAAATACTAAAACATAACTATTATATATATTGAGATGGAGGGAGTATTATTTAGAAAATGGATTATACTGTGTTAAAAAAATATTACACTAATCTCATCTTCACTCCACATTTTTTTTTTTTAACTCTTTTGTTTTTCTCTCCTATCCTAAACATAAGTAAACACAGGAATTTAGAAAAATTAGTAATAAATAAGTAATGAAGAATTATATTAATAAATATAATTATAAATTAATATTTAAAAAATTATGAATTTTAAAACTTAAAATAAAATTAAAATATATAATTATAATAAAGGGTAAATTGGTTTTTTAGTTCCGGAACCTATTTATCATTTTAGTAATGTAAGTGGAGCATGTCGCAAACTAGTCCCATAAGTGAAAATTTTTTGCTGGTTTAGTCCTCCGGCGGCAGAGACGCCCGCGTGGCTCGCGGGAGGTGACGTGTCCGCCAAGTGTCCTGCCAGGTCAGCGACACCTGGCGGACACGTGGATTTATTTATTTTTCATTTTTTTAAAATTTTTTAATTTTTTTTAATTGGACCAAATAAAAAAATAAAAAAATACAAATAAAATTAAAAATAAGTTTTAAAAAAAAAATTAAAAAAATAAAAAATAAATTAAAAAATCCACGTGTCCGCCAGGTGTTGCTGACCTGGCAGACAAGTCACATCGGGCTAGCCACGCGGGCGTCTCCGGCACCGGAGGACTAAAACAACGAAAATTTTTCACTTATGGAACTAGTTTGTAACAGGCTCCACTTACTGGACTAAAATGATAAATGGTCCAATTACGAGACTAAAAAAATAGTTTATCGTTAAAAAAAAAAAAAAAAAAAAACTTTTTATGTGTGACGAACATTGGACAGAAGGACTATTATAGCATGTGGCCTTACAAATCAAATCAATTACATTCAACTGTCTATTTATATGTAGGTTTTTTTCTTGCTATTTACAAAACCTCTAATATAAACATAGTCTTAAATATTTATTGCTCACAATAATTACTTATTACTACAAAAAGTAAATAAATTAGAATTTATAAAATATTTGTTACAAAAGTCAAATATTCAATTTTCATATTTTTTATATTATACACCAAATAATCATTCGTCTAAACAGGTTGGATGAATGAAGCCAAAATTTAGAGTTTTAAAAATGTTCCGAAAATATTTAAAATATATATCATTGATTCGATATTTTTATTAAAAGAAGATATATTTAATACTCTGTGTGCCAATTCCAAGTTTTTTTTTTTTTTTTCATTTTTATTCGTCTCATTTCAATGTATATTTTTCATATTTTAGAAAAATAATCCTACAGCTGAATATATATTTAAATAATAAATATACAATTATACATACTAAAAACATCAAAATTTTTTACATATTTTTATTAACCAATAAAATATTACTTCATCCGTCCACAAACTAATATCCTACTTTCCTACCTGGAGCCTCCAACAATTATTGTCCTATTTCTTTTTTTAAACATAAATTTTATATTTTTATCCTTAATTCATTTATTACTTTTAATCTCTATCGTTCAATAAATGACAAATTTGTCAATTTATAACAAAAAAGACAATCACCTAAAAAATTGTACAAATATACTTTTTAGGACAATAGAAATTCGACGGGGGAGTATTATTTTTAAATAAAAACTCCTCTTAAAAAAAAAGGAACAGAGAGTAGTATATTTGTTTTTAGAAAAATACTTGATGATAATTTGAATTTCTAAATTTGTATAAGCAGAAACATTGGATGTGTTCTTTGGGCAGGAGTTATTTTAACTCAATGGGTGTTTGTTCGTTCATTTTAGTTTTTGGGTTTAAATTTTTGGATAGTAAAAAATTGAATTTAAATAGTTATTTGATGTGATATAAATAGAGGATGGTGTGATATTTTGAACTTAAAATAAATTTTGTAGTATAATATAAAAGTAAATAAATAAATAATTTTTTGATGTCATATTTTTAAGAAAAAAAAATAAAAATTCAACAATAAAAATCTGTGATAAAATTCACAGAAGAATACAACTACTGTGCCGCTACTATTGAGAGTAAATTAGTGTAAATCCATCTTAGGAAACAACTCTAAAATTGTTATACTCCCTCCGTCCACGGATAAAGTATACATTTAATTTTGGCGCGAAGTTTAAGAAATAATAGTATTTTAATTATAGTGGGTAAATAAAAGTAGTGTAATGATATTTTTGCCCTTACTTTTTGGTATAAAAGTAATGATGTGATGTAAAGTAAAGGTATTTGTTGGAAAAAATGAAATATTTAATGAAATGGTTACTTTGTAATTGGACGTCCCAAAATAAAAATATGTATACTTTGTAGTTGGACCGAGGGAGGGTGGGAGTATTACCTATCACTATCGTGTGAAAGAAAAAAATATAATAATAATAATAATAATAATAATAATAATAATAATAATTCACTATATATTATATAAAAAATAACAATAGAGCAGACTTTTTATTTATTTATTTTTATTTCATACTTTTAATTTAAAAATAAATAACTTATTTTATTTATTATATTACGCGTTTACATCATTATTTTTATTACATATCAAATTAATACACATAAAAAAAACCCCTAAAATCCAAACAAAATATATCAACTCAAATAAATACACATTTTCAAACCTATCTTAAAATTTAATATAATCCAAACGTAAACCAAAAATTTTATTTGATGTTGTTTGAAATTAATTTAGAATGAAATATTAATTTAAAACTTTATTTAATTAATATTATATTCGTCCGACTTTAAAAGTCTCATTTAGCGTATTAATATTTAAATATTAATTATTATATCAAAATATAGCATAAATTAAAAAAATATTGTAAAAAATACTTTAATACTATATAATATTAAGAGAATGACATTTTAAAAAAAAAAATTATACAAATATAAAAATATTTTTAAGATCAAGAACAATGACAAAATAAATAAATAAATAAATAAATGTAACACTTAAAAGCCGACAAAAAAAATATTTTAATATGATATTTTTATTATTTTTTATTGAAAAGTATATAGAACGAATAATGATAGGTGATTTGTGTTTTAAATTCTAATAAAACAAACCCAAATCTTTATCTTTTTTCAAAAGAATGCACCCTTTTTTTGGTAGTTTAAATTTTAGATTTGAATTTGAATAATAATATTTAAATTGATATAATTATTTGATTTAATATAAATAGATATTGATATACTCCCTCCGTCCCACATATCATGTTCATATTGTCGTTTTTGTCCGTTCCACATACCATGTCACTTTCTTTTTTTGAAAAATAATTATACACTTTAATCTCATTTTAAATTTTTAAATTTTATTTTTTTTAAATTTTAATTAAATTAATTAGTTATCTTAATCTTAATTTATAATTATTTTCATCAATACATTCTTAATTATCTATTAATTACACTCCTCTTTAAAATACTGTATTTATTAATTATCAAACACGGTATGTGGGACGAAGGTAGTAATACATTTAATATAAAATTAAATTTTAATTTAATATAAAAAAATAGATATCATGATGTTTTTTGTGGATATTTTTTTTTTTTAAATTTTTAATGAACAATAAAAATCCATTAAAATTTTGAAACAAACACACCCTTAAAATTTTTAAAATTAGCATCCGAGTGAGTCAGCGTCCACTACAGTCAGTAATTACCCATACATTTATGTCTTTATCTGTTCAGATTATTCTTCAACTTTTTATTTTTTATTTTTTATTTTTTATTTTTTATTTATTTTTAAAATTTGTCCGATTGTAAATATTTTAATTTAGGTTTGTTGGAATCCGACTCAGTGGCCAACGTCAACACGACGGAGTCATGTATCCTTTCTAGTATTATTTTCTCCGGCAAAATTTATTCTTTTTTATTTTATTTAAATTTTTCGCATTACTAATTTTAGCAAAAATAATAAATTAATACTCCCTCCATCCATTTACAAAGTTTACATTTACTTTTGATACCGTATTTCAGGGAATAGTTAAAAGTAGTAAAATGACATTTTTGCCCTTACTTTTTGTGTAAAAGTAATGATGTGATGTAAAGTAAAAGTATTTGTGGAAAAAAAATAAGGTATTTAATGAAATGTTAACTTTGTAATTGGACGTTCCAAAATAGAAATATATAAATATTGATAGTGGACGGAGGGAGTATTAGTTACTCTCTTCGTCCCAAAAGTATAATCTTATTGTGTTTGACAAGACATTTAGAAAATATTGATATTATATTTGTAATTGGTAAAAGTAAAAATAAATGACTTTTATGCTCTTGTGAGTATATTAGTGTAAAAAATAGTAGAAATAGTTTTCTGGTGATATAGTTATTTATGAAAATGAGACTATTGGTTTAAGACCGACAAAAATAATAAACAAGACTATTGTATTGGGATAGAAGAAGGATTATTTTTCATTCAATATTTATTTACACCAATATTATTAACTTTATTATTATTATTATTATTATTATTATTATTATTATTATTATTATTATTATTTTCTTTAATTTCTAACTAGATCTACCGAAGCATTGTTTTTTATAATTTGAAAACAATGATTTGAGTTTGTTTACATTATGTTTTTACGTGGCATAATTATTCATAAATATTTACTCTTTCCGTCCAATAATTAAATATCCATTTGATTTTTATCCGTAATTTTTAAAATATTAATATTATATTGAAATATAGTATGAATAAAGTAGAAATTAAAATAACCTTATTAGTACGTGTGATAAATATAATGACATTTGTGTAATATATTGTAAGTTATAAAAGTATTTGTAATATTAGGTAGATAACACCGTTACTAGAAAATGAAATAAATACTTTATTATGGAACAATAGAATATACACATTAACACTGTATAAAAATACATACTCCCTCCTCCTATGCATCAGGGTTATTTTATTAAAAATGTATTAATAAAATTAATTAAAATATAATACAAATAATTATAAAAGATTAACATAACTAATAAAAATTAAATAAATTATAAATTATTAAATTTAAAATATGATTAAAAGGTAAAATATTATTTTTTTTAAAAAAAATGATATAATGAGACGGACACAAATAATAAATGTGACATAATATTTGGGACAAAATAAGTACATTTTATTCATTTACAAAAATGAACTTTTATTTTTTATTTTTTATATTATCGATACAACTCTTCATCTCTAATATAAAAAAACCAAATTCATATAAAAAATGAACAAACTCAAAATGTTTATATTAGAAATAAACTAAAATATAATAATTTAAATAAAATAAGTGAATATTAACATTATTTTTACCTTTTTAAAATATATTGTAAATAATACTCCCGTAAACACAAAAATTTAAAAGGAATATAATTAGTAAATAATTAAAAATATATTAATAAAAAAATATATGTTATAAAATTTAAAATAGAATTGAAATGTATAATTCTTTTTTTTAAAAAAAAAACATAAAATATGGGACGAATTTAATAAAAATACTCCATCTATCATTCAAATTTATTCATTACTTTTTCTATTGTCATCTAAATTTATTCTTTTTTTTTTTTTGTAAAAGTTTTCTATTTTTATTTTTTTTAATTATTATTATTTTTTTAATTTATGTTCGATCAAATAAGCACAAAACTGAATAACAAAGGAAGTACAAATCATTAAAAACTATGTAAAAACCGAAAAAAGAAACTATTATATGCACAACGTAAGTTGCATTTAATTAAATCCAAAGAACCATAGTCAAGAAAACAATTCTCTTTCTCAACAAAATTACTCCATCCGTCTCACATACGTCTCACATAATTTGTCCCTATTTTCTATTTTCGTTCGTCCCACATAACTTGTCATTTCTATTTTTAAAAATATAATTATGCACTTTAATCGCATTTTAAATTTTATAATTTTCTTAATTTTAATTAAAATATTTACTTATCTTAATCTATAATTATTTTTACTAAATAATAATTATTTTTACTAATACACTTCTTAATTACTTACTAATTATACTTTACCTAAATTCCCGACGAGGAGTATTTAATTGGACAATATTCTTCTGGCCAACAATATGATTTTTTATTTTTATATTATTTTTGACTTAACAAGACCCTATTTACCTATATCATTAAACATCTCACTTCATATTATTTCAATCTCACGAAACAATTCACATTAATATATTCTTTTCAAAATTTTCCAAAACTTTCAAAACTCTAGTCCACACAGAACCTGACTTTTTAGTTTGTAATACTCCCTCCGGCCCGAATATTTTATTAACTTTAGTAGACACGGAAATTTATGAGAAGTATAATTAGTAAATAATTAAAAATGTATTAGTAAAAATAATTATCGTATAATAAAAATAATTATAAATTAAGATTAAAATAACTATTTAGTATAATTAAAATTAAAAAAATTATAAATTAGATTTTTTAAAATAAGATTAAAATATATAATTCTTTTCCAAAAAAGAAAAGTGACAAAATAAGTAGGACAGACGAAAATAGAAAAGTAGACATGAAAAGTGGGACGGAGGAAGTATTAGATTGCATCCCAAAGCATGACCTAGTGGCAAATCCCAGACATAAAACCATCAAAATAAATAGCAAAATACTATACATTTAATATATATATATAGATAGATGCATGTGTATTCTTGAAAATAAAAATAAATTGAGTGAGAGAGGATGGAGAAAACCATAAAGATGAATCATGAGTCTGGAAAGGCAAGCAGCTGTGTGTGTGTGTTTTTGCAAAGCTCTTTCCAGCTATGAATATGATTAATATATCAAATAATTAGGAAGAAGAAGAAGAAGATGACGAAGAAATCAAACCTGAGCAGTGAAGTCAGCCGGTGAGTGAGATTTTTAGCTTCAAACATTCAATCCAGGTAGAACAGCGTCACGATTTTCCGCATGTTCTTCGCTTCCTGGCACGTCTCCATCAGCAGCCGGCTGTCATGGAACGCGAAGCAGATCACTTGCTGCACCTGGGAAATGATGCTCATATTGCACAGCCTGCACGTATTCTTTTCTGTTTATTCGACACCCTAGGAAAGAACTAATTACCGATGAGAGACTGAGAGTTTGCGCATTACCTGCTGGCTTCGATCAATGGAAGATGATCGTTCTGGGGCTTCTCGATCACATTTTTCACCTGCCAAGAAGTAATTTAGAAGTTCAATATTTTTTTTCTAAAAAAATAAATGGTTGGCTACACGAACAGCGTTAAAAGTTCAGGTTGAAATCAACATTGTGGATTCGGAGCAGTGTGAGCATCTTTGGAGCATTTATGGAAAAGCACATCCCGATAACCGGTCAAGAAATGTTACTACAGTCAGCTCCTTGAAAACATTGATCTAAATATCCTGTAGAAATAAATCATCTTTGGAGCTGACTGTTGAAGGCTCGATACTTTTAATTACTTCAAACCATCCATTTGTAGGTAAAGTTCTGAACATTAACCCGACTTAAAACAATATAGCATCTACATGCCATGTTTCGAGAAAATAAATGTAAACCCTACAAAAGCTCAGAGTTTTGGCAAGAAACTAAAAGGAATTTAAGACTGCAATACAAACTCTAGTTTTCATATACCAAAATGTATGCATAGTAAAAGAAACAGAATAAATAAATAAATAATCTTAATTATATTAGAACTATATGATACGATAAAACCCAATGGATTAAATCACAGTCAACGTTAATGAATGAAAAGCAGAAGCCACAAAAAATTTAAGAATTTAAAAACCAACAAGGTGTTCAAAAAATGGGTGGAGTCTTACTTTAGAAAGTAGTTCTTGACTTTCAGGGGGCTGTTTTTTCAAACTTTGCGGCAATATCACAGTGAGCAGCTCAGGCTTTTCAGCGCGAAGAGCTCCTCTAATAACAGCAGCATTAGTTCCCGCTGCTCCGGAGGTAAAAATGTGGTTTTTCTGCAAAGAAATGAATGGGGATGCTAAGAGCCTAAGAGCATGAAATTTGAAAGAAAATACAGTGAAAGAATTGAAACTATTGGTATTTGATTCAAATCACTGCAAAATTAAAGTCCGACCAACCACACAAATGTGAGAAATACCGTTATAACCAGTGCATAGCTCAGGATCTCAATAAGTTCCTGGTGCATGAATCCCATGTTTCGTGTCCCGAAAAAGCCAATTGCTCTAGGACCTTGTTGTTGAATTGCTAGCAACTCCTGGAAAGGAAGAAAAGATATGTACATAATATATATTGACGGTTACATCTCAAATATTAGCAACATAATTCCCACGTCAATAAGGCCAATAGCACCCATTTCTATATTTCACTTGATTTAAAATATTTACAATTTAAAACATGTGATTTTCTATGTGTATATTGGCTGCATGGGATTGAGAAATTTTCTTTAATAACGGCTCTGTTAATATATATTCGATTTCAAAACTAACTTAGACTCAAATCAACTTCAGGAATGCATCAAATATTCATGCAACATCTAAAGGTCCCTAGAGAAGGTAATTAGGCAACGATTATCAATTCATTGTGTACAGAATAGAATTCCCAATCGTTATTACTACCTTTTGAATTAATTTATCAGGGGAATAATAACAATAACCTGCAGTGGTATTCAAAAATAAAGGGAACTATCAACAAACCTGTAGGTAATCGACATCAGGTGCAGGTTTATACTCAGATGCCAAAACTGCTCCAGACCCCTCAACTAGCGTTTGTGCTTGAGTCGGAACTTGAGCCGGCACGTCTTCATCAGATCCAAACATCTGGATTCCATTTTCATTTCCATCTCCTAGATTCTCGCTACTTCGGTTTCCTTTTTCACATCCACAGAGCCACTATACGAGCACATACAAAACAGAGGCCCCTGGTAGTAAATCATTAGTGAAAATCAAATGGCTCATGGAAATGCATGTAAAGATATATCTGTAAGAATGCAGCCGAAAGTCATTATCTTCTTAGTATCCGAGTGAGCAACTATTTTCTGATGGCTACAGAGATATACACATATACATACATATATATATACATATTGATTTATATTGCACTTACCTATCCACATATTCAAATAAATGGACCCTTACTTGTTAACAAGATTCCCGAAAAGCATGTTTAAAGGCATGCTTGTAAAACTTACAAGTAATCCAACACATAAGCGTAGAAACCAGGATTATTTCCATTAGGCTCATTCAATTCCAAGACCTTGTATCTATCACTAGAGCAATTGTTTACAATAGACTAATAGTGATATACAGAGTGCACCTATCTCAGTTACCACGACAGACCTATGAGTATGACCGTGCAAAGTGTTGATAACAGTTCAAGATGAGCCAAGAGCAATTATTGTGGAAAGCTAAGATAACCCTTCAATTTGAAATGAGGTAAAGTCAGCTGGGATTGCAGTAGATATCATTTAGGATATTATAGTTCATTGATTTTATTGGATGATTTCTCAATCAATTAAATCCCCAAATAACCTGACGGCTTTTGAATAATACATATCAGCCAAATAGAAACATGATCTATGGATGGATCATTTTGGTAGTTCAACAATTTATTTTATTTTTTTAGTCTCTAGACAAGCATGCAACTTTTTCAGTTTTTTATAGGAAAATATGCGGCTAGTCGGCTACTGAGCTACAAAAATAGTGAGGTCTTTACTTTTAGCATTTTTGGTGGAACAGTCTGAAGGAGCTAAGTAGGTACTGTGGAGGAGGCCAGTATAGAATAATAGACATAATCGAAATTCTCATAAGTTCACACAAGTAGGAATATCTGATACCAATTTTGCGGATTGCACATATCCACAAATATTTATACATATATATATATATATATACATATATATTCTGATTCATAAGTGAAACCCATGAAAGAGGATAGCAGTTCTATCTTCAGGCAGTGTTCCAAAATGATTTGTTGAATAATGAGATGACAGTTTTGCAAGAAATTAAAATGCAAAATTTCTTACTTTCATGCGCAACTAACTAAAGACCTGGAAAAAAAAGAAACTACTTAGGTTCATCTAAAAAGCACAAATGTAACAAAAAGCGCCGATTCTGGAAAAGGTTCCAGTGTTCTTGATTACATTCAATCATTCTGAAATCTGAATGAACTAAAAAGTTTCAGCAAGAGTCAAAAAGAAAAATCAACCACATTTGCTAAGAAAATACAATAAGAAGGAAAGGAGAGCAGCCTAAGCATGGCTAACAGGGATTTGAATTAATAAGGAAGCAAAATAAGACAAAAAAGGAGAAGAATAAAGAAGCAGAGTATTGTGTTTACTTTATCAGGCTCTATTGGTGGGCCCAGAACCACAAACGTTTAAGGACATAAATCACACGCCATGGCATAATGAATGTTCAATGCACCCAAAGTAACATGTTGAAGAAGGATTAAGCAGCCAATTTTGGCATCTTGTGCCACGGAAAACATTGGCAACTATGACAAATTGGCAAATCCAAACAGATCAAGCATGAACCAGTGACAAAACACTGCGTAGTAAGTTTATATTTTTTGGTGATAGCTGATATGGGATCTTTTTTACTGAGACTTGATCTTAATCTTATAGATGCAGAATTTAAAGGCCTTGGTATTTGTAAGATACACACGTTCAATGTTAAAAACCAACACGTCAGCTACTTTTGCCATTTGGACACGTATCAATCAAGATTCGATCACCCTCACGGGAGATTACATTACCTAGATCATAAAAGGTAAGCCACCTATAATTCTTGTTTCAGATTGATTACTGCCAATGAGATACTCAAATCACAAGCTGTAAGATGTGGCTGAGACACGCAATAGATGCTATACGTACAACAAAATTCAAAATTTTCATTTACCATTTCTCCACCCAAGCTTACCATATTACGCGTCAGACACGTTAAAACAAAAGATGATCATGGAAACCAGTGTACTAAATTACCAAATTATAACATCAGAAAATCATATGAAGGGGATCAAATTCCCAAACTATGTTACTCTTCAAATAATATCGGTAGTTCATCCGTGCACAAACATATAGTTCCCATTGCTGAGATTTTAATTTATCTAACAGAATTTATCTCAAACAGTCTAGACATCCATCATGTGCTCTTTGAAAATATGCAAATAATTGACTATAAGCAAACTTTTTAAATAGGTTTTTCTTAATTTTCCCAAACCAATGCCTGAAAAATCCCTTTCAACCCTAAAACTAAACTAATGGAAACTAATTTCATAGCCATAAACATCAATTTTCACAAATCCTCTAATTCCTAAGCCTATACAGTGAGCAATTCCACATACAGCACACACTCGTGTGTTTCCAAAGTTCAGAAGAGGATTCTCGAAAGCAAGATGCCTACATCAAATCCAAAGCCATAGGATCTTAAAACTGCAGCGAATCAATCACAGCACTAAATCCACAGGACAGAAAACAATATTGCAGTAACTTATCCACACGCGAGCGTACGTGATTTACCTTCTGTTTACGCAGAGAAGGGCATAACGATGAAGCAAACCGTTTGCCGATACCCCTAGAATGAAGCGAGAGGGAATGGAAATGGCTGAAGCCACCCCCAGCGGCGGCTTCCACGCCGGCCGAGAGCTTGAAAGCATCCAATTGAGGAAGGGGCGACAGAATCAACCTGAACGAGTGCGTTGTCATCTCCGCCCCCCTTCTTTAGCCTCGAGAATATCGAATAGTCCCCAATCCCTCCGGCGCCGAGCCAATTGGAGTTTGCTTCTTGCGTATTAACAACGGCGGTAACTGCAATGGGTGGCTCTATAAGGTCAGTTGTCGAGAGTACGGAGTGGCTTAATCATCGCCGTCGCTGCGAGAGAGGAAGCCGTGCCGGTGAATTTCCCCGTCAGTCGGTCGGCGGCGGATATCGGTGGGATGAGGGATGGGGTTGGAGGCTTGTGTTGTGTTGTCTGGGATTTGATTTGATGGAAAAGGGGATAGCCTTTTTTGTTGTAGAAAGAGTTACGTATAATAATAATAATAATAATAATAATAATAATAATAATAAAATATTTTATTTTTTTAGTTATTTTTAATTATTAATGTAAAATTTATAAAAAATACTTTATTTATCAAAATTGATGTAAATATGAAATTCCATACAAATAAAAAAACTAAATATATTAAATATTTTTTTTTAATTAAATAAATAAATAAATAATCCATCCTTTGTTTTTATGATTAAAAAATAATAAAATAAAAAATTAAATCTAATTTTATATTTTATTTGTTCGATTTGTAAAAACTGAAATCATAATTGAACCAAAGTTAACAAAACTAATTCGCTTCGATTTAAATTTTTTTTTTTTTTTAAAAATGAATTTGTATTTATTAATTGAAATTTATAAAAATTAAATTTTAGATCAAATTAAACTAATTATTTGAACATTTCAAAATAATCTGATTTTTTTTTTCCAACTTGGACTGACTATGCTCACTCATAGCCTATGCAACTCACCATGTGCAACTATATACGGGAGAGGATATCACTAAATGAGATAGATAAAATTAGCTAAGACTTCAATTTCATTTAATAAAATTACACTGGTCATCCTTGCTATCAACAGTGAACTTGTAATCATAAGGTCATGAGTTCAAACTTCGAGACTTTCAAATTTATTTGTCACATATGATTTGTTTAGTGTAACTTGTTTTATCGGACTTAATTTGCACCCGAGCTTTACCCTACTGTCACAAATTATGACGCAAGCTCGATGACCTTAGAGCAATTAACACATGCAACGGTTCTTTTCTAACGGGCAAACTTTCGGCCGCCTGTCCACGTCGCCTCGTTGGACCAAGATTTTCTTTCTCTCTCCACGTTACTATCTCTCACTTTTTTTTTTTTTTTTCTAATTTTGCCCCGTTTGCCGGCGCCAACAAATCAATCGTCGACTCCAATCAACCTTTGAAAACAAATTCTAGTCACGAGATCTATAGAAATTTTAGAAAATCTAAAAAAGACCTCATAACACAATCTCATACACAAATGAGCAGATTGAAGAAAAAAATAAACAATAAATACCGAAATCGAAATGGAGAAAAAGAGTATGTAGAGAAGCAATTTTCTCAAAATTTTGAAGGGAAAAGAAAAGTGGACGGTGGGAGAAAAAATAAATTATTATTATTATTATTTTTATGTTCGTATATGATTATATTTACTTTTAAAAATAAAGTTACTAAACGATTTAATAAAATATTTCATCTCAAGTACTCCAAGAGCCTTGACACATAAGTATCAAGAGGTTATTTTTTTTCAATTCTCATTGCAATTGCTCTTAGGCGAGTACCCCTCCCGAGTGCACTGGAGATCACCAACCTAGGCCATGGCCCTCATTGATTCCCCAATCGACCCGTCTAGGTATGTAACTCAATATCTTTCTGGGTGTGTTTGTTTGGAGATTTGAATTTTGAATTGAGATTTGAATAGTAAAAATTTTGAATTTGAATAGTTGTATGATGTGATATAAATAGGTGTTGATGTGATGTTTTGAATGTAAAATTGATTTTTAGTATAATATAAAAAATGAAAAATAGGTGTTTGATTTGATATTTTTGGGGGGAAAAATGGGATGAATAATGGAAATTAAATCCAATCTCCCAAACAAACACACTCTCTTTTTATTATATACTTTGCTTTTCTGATCATGTTTGTTTTTTCTCGTTGTGGGATCGAAAAATAAATATCTCATTCGTCTTCGTATTTAAATAAAAAAATTCTTATGCATTTTGAGGTTGAAACACATGTAAAATTATCGAAAATATTTGATTGACAGGATGTTCAAAAACCTTTTATTTATTATTATTATTATTATTATTACTATATTATAACTTGATTTGAAAATATTTTGGGAAACTTAGACTCTAACTTTTAGATAGATTATACATGTTTAAATTTAATTATTTGGATAGTCGAATTAGTTAAGTTTTTGAATTAGAGATCCTAATTTGGCTTAAAATTGAAGTTGTCAAAATTGTCCAAAGACGGAACCAATTAGATTTGGCCATTCGGTTCTGAACTGTCATTTGACAATTTTAGGACGGAAGGTTTAGTGGTTTTCAAGTTGACAAATTGCCTATAGACCAAATCGAAACTGAAATTCCAACGGTTTGTTATTAGTTTTATTTTTATTTTTTATTTTGAAATTCAAATCAACAATTCGAACCAAAATCAGTTAATTTCTATTAAAAAATTTTAACACTCAAACGACAATTTGATTCAAAAAATTTAGCTCTCAAACCAACTGTTTGAAATGCCAACTTATACGGGTTTTTCTTTTTAAATTAATATATATCAATTTCAATTTTAATTATTAACTAATTAAATTATAATATGCATTAATTAATTTTAATCTTAATTTTTAGTAATAGACTAATAAATCATTATTTTAAATTTTAACTATTATATATATTTCATATAATATAAAGATTTATCAAATTAAAATTGGAATAAATATTAATAATAAAATTTAAAATTAAGAAAAAAATTAGGAAAAAATCTAAACATAAATCAATATAAACCAACTTATGAAATCGAAATCAACTGTTTTTAAACTTGAACAAGTAGTTCTGAGACCATTAAACTGTAAGCAAAATTGATTTGGCTGGGAAGTTTTGAACACTTTTTCACATGTTGTGAAGTTGAAACTTTAATTACCGTAAAATTCGTGAGTATGAATGTATGGATAAAAATAATAAAAATTGTGATTCAAAATATTTAATTTTAATTTAATTTTTGGACAAATGAAAATCGACGATTTCATATATAACCGACAGTTCAATCGATTAAGACAAATTTAGATCCAATACATAAGTATCTATTTCTTTGTTGCCTCATTTTTAAATTTCTAAGTATTTTCTTACTCATTTAATTTATCTAAGTAGTATAATTTATTTAATTAAATTAATAAATTAATTATTTATATAATATACAATTTTAAAATATTTTCTACACTATTTTTTTTATTTTTTATTTTATGTTTTTATATTATTTATTATGTAATTTTATAATTTCCCAAAAAATACACATTTTTTTGTTACTATAATATCACATACAAATTGTAATTAAAATCATAACTTAACTAAAGAAAAAAGGTATTATAAGAGCATAAGTTGAGTCATTCCCTCTCCTTCATTTTTTTTTTTTTTTTTTTTTTATCTCTCTCATCCACGTGGTATCATCTTAACATTCAAATTACTTTATGGTATTACTTTATTTATCATTAATCACTTTTAACATATTATCTTTACTATTTTATAGATCCATAATAATTTATTTATTTCTATATATTTTTATTACATAATATATATTTCTTATACATATTTTTATATATTTTTACTGTCTAATAATATATTTATATAATATTATACTAGTATTTTAATTTTTAAATACTATTAATCTATATAAATATATATTAAGAGATATAATTTACTATTTTAAAATTTGAAATTATTCAAAATAAATCAAACATATATATTTATAGATAATTTTTGTTAAATTGAAAATTGAAAATTTTAAAATTTCAAAAAATTGAAATGATAACTATATTGCCTTATTATTAAAGGTATAGCAAAAATTATAAAGGTAGTAAAATAGGTGATTGTAACAGATGCTTTAATACTCGTGATAAAAAAAAATATTAGAAATATCCATTTGTTTTTTTTCACATGTGATAAAAAATAATGATATTTGTGTAATATAATGTAAGTTGTAAGGGTATTTGTAATGTTAGACAGATAGTACAGGTTACTTAAAAAAAATGGATGCATGAGACGGATTAAAATGAAAAAATGGATACTTTTTTATGGACGGAGGAAATATTATTGATTGTTTTACTATAAAAGACAAATAAATAAATAAAAAAAAACTTATCATTTTAAAATTTGTCTTAATTTTTTTTGAATATGTCTTTTTATTTATTTTTTTAGGTAGGTAATATAATTTTCAGTATATATATATATATGCAGAAAAGGCGATAAATACCGAGGCTTTGTCTGCGTCCCTTCTTTCCGCTTCTTCTCACAGTCGCCCTTTCTTCTTTTCACTTTCTCCTCACAGTCGAAGGATTTCTACTCACTTTCTACAGTGGAACCCAAACGATTTCTTCCTGCTCTTTGATCTACGGATCATTCAACTGATTTCGGTTCCGCCAATCGATCCAACTCCCATGGATCAAGACCATCCCTCCGCCGATTCTTTGGCCTCGCCCGCCACCAAGAAGCTCAACGCCAAGGCGCCAGAATTCGTGCCCCGCTCCTCCTCCTCCTCCTCCGCCGCCGCCGCCGCCGCGCCTCCTCCGCCTCCGCCGCTTTTGCAGCCGGTCTACGCCCGGCCGCCTTCTTTCGGACCGCCGACTTACTACGGATACGAGAATTTCTACCAGCCCGGCGTGGCGCCGTTTTACGGTTACAATGTGAATCCGGTCGGCGGAGTGGAGTTTTCTGCTGATGGAAACAATGGCGGCGGCGCGCCTCCGGCCTCCAAGAAAACTGGATTGCCGGATGCGCATCAGAAGATTATCAATCAGGTGGATTGTTGTTGTTATTTTGATTTTTTTTTTCCTTGTTTGGAATTGATATTTGTTGATAGTGCTGATCCTGTTGTTCGATGAATAGCGTAACTTAATTGCTTGTGGAAATCTTGATGTTGTGGTTGGTTTCTAGTACGGCCTGCGGTTATTCATTTTTCTCTATCTATTCACGTTTTTATATGATTTTTGTTTAGGTATTGGTTCATTGAACTTGAACTTTTGTTAGTATAGACTCTCTTAATCTTGCACAATTAGGTCTAAAAATATATCTGTTGCTTTTCAGGATTTCAGTTCAGATTCTTCTCTATAGATTAGTTTGTGACGTGAGAATGATATTGATTAGTTTTTCTGTAATTTTGTCCATGGCTAGTTATTTGATTGGGGAACAAATGGTTTATATGCAGCAGTTGGGTGAATTTTGGTTGGATAATGTGTAAGTTTCGTCGCGTAGCTCGGGGTTGTAATAAGAATTTTTTTTGTCTGCAGGTAGAGTTTTATTTCAGTGATATCAATCTGGCTACAACTGATCAATTATTTAAGTTCATGAGCAAAGATCCGGATGGATATGGTGAGTCATTAATGTTCAATATTTTCTTCTTCTGGATATCGGGTTTGCTCTTTGTTTCCTCTTCCAAATTGGATATAGAATGATCGAGAAAATAGCCTTTTGATTTTTAGGTAATGAAATGATCCCTCGATAAAGCCATTAAGGGAACTAACAGTTGTCGCAGTGTTTATGTTACATTTCCAGATATCCCTCGATACAGTCATTTGTAGTTTTGTACAAGCATGTTATCCGAGATAGGAAAGGAAGATTCTGATTACCATCTACAATCGACGAAGCACACCTACTGCAGTTCATTAAATTCTAATTTATTATTGCTACGCATCTGGTCGGGAGCCATTTCCTACCGAATTGATAGTCTGATTTTTGTCTTGATATTTGAATAATGAGATATGGGCTAGGTGATGGGCTTTGTTACTTATCTTGGCACAGCCATGACATGAATGTACCTTTTTCATCCTTTTTTGAAGAGAGCCACTATCTTTTTCATTCCTTTTCCTTTTTCTTGTGCCAGCTTTAAGAGTGAGAAAATCCAAAAAGGCGGTATTCTAGGACTTAGGTTCTTATTTTAGTAGCCCTTAGGTTTAATTATGCTAGAAAAATCGTCGCATTGTAACACATAAGAGAACTAATGAAAATGTGATGTTGCAAATTTGCAGTTCTTAAAGATTTGTTATTGCAGATATTTATGACTAATGTAGTTTATAATTCTTTGATCCTTTTGTTTCCTTCGACACGAATGGGGATTAAGAGTTAGATCCTTTTCAATACTAGTATCTCAACTTTTATTTTATGATCTGCTATCCTGAAATGCAGTGCCGCTTTCTGTTGTCGCATCATTCAAGAAGATCAAATCTGCTGTTTCTGATAGTACACAGCTTGCTAATATTCTGCGAAGCTCCAATAAACTAGTAATTATTTCTTCGCTTACTTGATATTGAGCGATATTCTCCATTCCTGCGTGGTATCTCTGTTGTTAATATTTCATGTTAATTTTTCCTTTGTGGTAACCTTTTGCTTTCCAGTTAGTCAGTGAAGATGGGAAAAAGGTTAAGCGCCAACATCCGTTGACTGAATCAGAGATGGAGGAGCTGCAAGTAAGTCGTCAATATTAGCGATACGTTTGTAAGGGGAGATTAAAACCCTTACTAGTATTACAATATCGAATAGTCGACTTTAGCAAACATTGCTTTTTTATGCTTTCACAGTTATTTTAGAACTTCTTATAGAATTTTTTGGTTGTTTGTTATAACTATTCATTTATCTCAGTCTGATAGTTGATTGGCATCTCCCCTTTGCGTGCAGTCTCGTATAATTGTTGCTGAAAACTTACCTGAGGATCATTCTCACCAGAACTTGATGAAGATTTTTTCTTCAGTAGGGAGGTATGCATAACTCATTTTCTGCAGCATATCGAGCACACAATACATATTGTTTACAACGAACAATGTTTGCTCTTTCTTATGCACTTTGTAAATGATTCTTCCAGCGTGAAGTCTATTCGCACCTGCCCCCCTCAGAATTCCAATGCTGGTTCATCATCTTCTTCCAAATCAGGAAAAGATGGGTTACATTCGAGTGGCAAGGTATACACATTTTGTAAAAGTGTTGGCCTTGTAGCCTGCACTACTTAGTTGTTGAGTGTTCCGGATAGACGAAGCAACAGTATTTGTGTTGCCTAGACTTTCTTCATCTAACAATTTCAATTTTTTGTAATCATTCAGGAATACCGTATAATATAATCACAGCATTTTTTGCTGTCTAATACGTGCTTTACTTGACACGCCACATTCGTATCTTAGTTAAAATTGAGTTATGCCACCCGTGTTTTCTTCTTATGATTTGTGTCAGCCCATCATTACTTCTAAGAGCAATTTAAATTTGGAGTTTTCATAAGAGTTTGAATATATTTTTTTCTTTTTTCATTTACATCTGTTTACTGAGTCACTTATCGAAATATTTGTTGTTCGTCATGGTTGGGAAGGAATTAATAGGCATTGAAGTAGCTACTCAAGTTTCTTATTTATAACTCCCTTTTTACTTTTTTATAATATTATATTTGGATTCTTGTAATATTCCGTGATCTACTAATTTTTTTATTTATCTTTTCTTGGAATATTCCAATAAAAGCTGTTTTTATTTTTATTTTAATCTTTTTAATAAAGATTTCCCTAGACATCTACTTTTTAGTTGAATCTTGAAATAAGATTATTACCTCTTGACACTTGTTTGATTCAGCAATTTGCATTTACACTCTGCATACCTCCTGGAGAAACTTTATTATGTGAATCTTTGCAACTCTTTTGGAATTTGCTTGCTACAATTAAAAGAATTTAATTTATAACAGACAATTGAACTGCTTCAGCTCTCATCTTGTTTCCTTTTTTAATTGTTGCGAAAAAGTTCTAATCTCCGAATTTTAATTTCCATGTAGTTTCATGCTTTTGTGGAGTATGAATCTGTTGAAGCAGCAGAAAAAGCCGTAAGCCACATTATTGCCAATTTTCTATTATTGGATTCAATTACTTTCATCATCTGCACCAATATTGAAATCTGTCGCTTTTGGCTCTTTATTGTTGGTATTTCTACCCAATTCTTGCTTAGGTTGCTGATCTGAATGATGAAGGCAATTGGAGAAACTGCCTAAAAGTTCGATTGCTGAATAAAAGTTCGGTATGCGACTACATCTTGTTTTACTCGTTTTTACTACGTTTTATTCCTTGTTAAAAAAAAATAGAAGTACAATTCTTGGCTTCTTGCTGCTTACACCATTTCCAATTCAGTGCTCTTATATGTGTTATCCTTTCTTCTTTGTCCATCCGGAATTTTGTACACTGATTAAAAGCAAAAGCCAATCATCAAGTTTTTCAATAAATTTCTCACTGTTGATCGTATAATCGATTTGTTTGTCTTTTGGATGTGCCTCTTAATATTTGCAATCTATAGGTGAAACCTGCTAACACAAGAGGGAAGAAAGCTAATCGCGAAGTTCAGCTTGCTGGCGGCAAGCGAGACGAGGCAGTTGCGCCAGAGATGCAAGGCTCAAAAGATAATCACTCAGAGGATGCATTACGACAATCCGATGCTCAAAATATTGAGCCTCAGGTATGGGGTTTTGGTTAACTTCAAATAATGCTACATTACCTACACTACCCCATACTTCTAAAGTCAATTTGATAACCTTACCATTGACGGGTACGGTACCTTGATAACTTGGAAACCCATGAATTTGCATCTATGTTAACTGAATTTCAATTTATTCGATGATTCTTTACCCGAATTAGTACTTCATTTGAGTAAGGTTTTGTTACTTTCACTCATTTGACATTATTTATTTTTAAAAAAACATCACATTAAATACACATTTTCTATCGCAAAACATAAAATCAAATAGGAACTTTTTACTTTTTCCCAACTTTCAAAATTCCAAAAGTCTCCAAAAACTCCTATCTAAACAGAAATTCTTTGACATTATGGTAATTCATTTCTGAACCTTATCTTAATTCTGAGTAACCTATGTATAGTTGGAAGCTTTTCCGAAATGCTCAGTATTCGAAACTTGAAATCTCAAGGCATGCCTTTTCCTGATCTTTATGTTTGTGTCGGCAGATGGAGAATAACGCAAAAGGAAACAATGTGCATAGAAAAGGGCGCAACAGCGGCGGAGGCAAGGGTAAAGGAAAGGGGCAAGGACGTGGTCGGGCTCATCACCCGGGGGGGCATGACGGAAATGTGGTGGGATCTCCGCCATGCGAAGCTCCTGTAGGCACAGCGAAAGCATCTCCCGTCCCTCGCATGCCGGACGGCACGAAGGGATTCTCGATGGGTCGAGGCAAGGCTGTAGCTGTAAAAACTGCTTGAAACGGTAATATTGATATTTCTATTCTCGAGAAAAAGGGCGGAAGGGAAAGCATGTTGATATTAATGTCGATATATCAGCTTCTGTCTTCGGAACCCCTTTTTCGAAATAGCCTTACTGCATATCATAAAAATGGTATAAACTACAGATGGCTGAGTCCGATATATGATATAATATGATATGATATGATATGACGAATGATATTGAATTGCGACTGACTATAATATGGCCCGTTTTTTCGGTTTGTTTTTGAATTGGGGAGATTTTTACAGTTTTGGAAGTGAAGAAAGGGCGTGTGTAGACAGATACATATACATATAGTGATTTTGCTGTGGCATTGTTAAATGTTTGCGCCTTCTTGTAGGTTTTTAGAGCTGTTAACGAACTGAGCTGAATTGAATCGAACTTTTTATGGTTGAATAATCGAATTGGGGATCGAGAAGTGAGCTTTTAGTTTTAGTTTTAGTTTTTGAGTAACCGAATCGAGCTTTTTATGTTTGAGTTTGGTTCGTTTATAGTTATAGTTTGGGTTTAGTTTATTGGCTAAAAAAATGAAGATAATTTTTTTTTTTCTTTGGTTTTAAGTTCATTTTATTTTGTTAAGATAATTTTATTTGAATATTTTTCTATTTGAATTTTAAATTCAAATTTGGTTCATCATTGTAGTATTTCTTATGATTATAAGGCCTTTTAGACCTTTGGAGCTTCAGAAAAATGAACAGTAAAAAGTTGGTTTTGGAAAATAACATAATAAAAGGAGAGAATATTTATTTGATAAGAATAAATAGATATTTGATGCTGATATTTTTATCAAAAATTAGTAGTGTTGAAAGTGTTGTATATTTTGGCTTATCAATTTAACTTTTGACGAGGATATATTCAACAATATTAATTATAATTTTTTATTGTGTTTGTTTGGGATTTGAATTTTGAGTTGGAATTTGAATATTCAAAATTTTGAATTTAAATAGTTGTATGATGTGATATGAATAGGCGTTGATGTGATGTTTTGAATGTAAAATTGATTTTTAGTACTCCCTCCGTCCCAAATAAAAAAATAAAAAATAAATATTTTGATTTGATTTTTTTGAAAAAAAACAATGGAATGAATAGTGAAAATTAAATCCAATCTCCCGAACAAACACACCCATAATAATATATTCTTATGATGATCTTACAAACGAATAGATTTGCTTTCAAACCAAGGCCAAACAAAGATTTTTGTATTACATAGAAGTTTTTTTTTTTTTTTTTTTGTTTGTTTGTTTGTTTTTATTTTTATTTTTAATTTGTACTATATTTTTTGATATAATAATATCAATACAATAAAAAGTAAATTTAAGTCTTAGTACGAGGACAAAGGGAGTATTATTTTATCTTATATGATTATGTCAAAATATTATATAATTTTTTTTCGTTTCAAAACAATAGTTTCATTTTCATAAATAACTATATCATCGTAAAATTATTTTTATTTTTTCATTATTATTATATAATTGCCATTACTTTTTATATTATACAACGGCAAAATTCTTACTTTTTACCAACTATTAATATAATATAATATTTCTTAAATTTCGTGTCCAACACAATATTATTATACTTTTGGGACGGAGAGAATATTTAAATAAAAATAAAAATTAATATGTTATTTTATCAATTTCAAACTACAATATACTACTCTTATCATGTTCAATAACGATTAGGATGTGTTTATAATAAGGCTATCATTTTACAATACAATTCAATAGAGTGTTTACGTGTTGCATTTGCATTTTAAATTAGAAGTTGATTGAAAATGATTTATAATTTATAAATTATATTAATATAATTACTATTAAATGATTACTATTAAATTTATAATATAATATATTTGATGAGATATAAAATACTCCATATTTAGATATTTAAACAATTATATTTTAATAAAATATAGTATAATACTAATATTATTTTATAGAATATAAATGTAAATAAAATTATTAATATTTATTTATGATTAGTATAAATTTATTTTAAAGAAAAAATATTTTTTAAATATATATTAATATATTTATTTATTGAAAAAATACAAATAAAATATTTTAAGTAATAATATTTGGAAAAAAAAATTAAAAATATAATATCAATAAATCTAGACAGTAACCAAACACTCTCTAGTTATTCAAAGATTCTTTTCAAATATGTTCCCGTATTATTATTAGTTTGATTTTAATTTTTGATATAACAAAAAACAATGTATTTTATAAGAAATTATAAGTAAATATTCTGAATTTTTATTTTTATTTTTTTAAGGCATACAACTTTGAAATAAATTCCGAACATGATGACTTAAACTGATAAACACATTTATACCCACAGTAAACTCCAATGTTCGGTAGAAAGTTTTGGACGGGCTAAAACATATGAAATTACCTGACCTCAACTCAGCTCAACTCTGTTCTCCAAATAGGAATATGAATAAAATCACAGGCAAGGCATCGAAAAGTTCCATCGGCTACGAATTCATGAGCCTGTCCATCAGCAATTTGTGCACGCCCGGAGCATCAACAGTTACTGCAATCTTCACTGTAGGTTTATCCGACCATTCATTAACTTCCGCGAACCTTAAACAAACACATAAAAGTCGAATCAAAAGTTTGCGCAAATGTGCACATTATTGGTACGGTGAATATGGAGATCATGAGAATGGAATTTGTAAATGGGATTCATTCTTCTAGGTGCATTTGTTTATGCTTTCGTACCTATTTTCGCACAATACAATCAATAGTAAAATATTTGTCCGCCTTTAAAAGTTACATCCAATCACTACTATATTCAAAACTTAAAAAGAAAGAGAAAAAGATCAAATTTAGAATTTACCTAAGTATATATTTAAACATGACGAACCGACCTTATTCTGTACTCTATGTTCCATTGTACAGAAGTCGCAATGTTTTGTCACCCACGTAGGTATATGTTTCTTCGACATCTTCACTAGATAAAAACTCTAATTCAGGCTAGAAAGGTATAGCTCATCTATGGTTACCTGTGATTAGTCTTTCGGGTGAGAACTAAAATTTCACAATAAGATCTCAAAACTTGCCAATTCTTGCATAGTAGCCACGCCTCCGACTTAGAGAAGAATAATAGTGTGTGCTTCCAAAAGAAAAGGTTAGAATTAGTAATTTTGACACTTCTTAGATAGTTGTTCAACCTCTTTTTAGTGTCCTGACCAGTTATTATACATTTATACTCCCCCTCCAGTTATCTTGAATTTTCACAATAGCAAGTGCATAAGTGCAAACTAATGTGCTGAGTATCTAACTTCGCTGATTATGATACATTACAGACTATTCTATCTTTTATAACTGAAATGAGATTACTGAAAACTAAATCGTTTTTGAAAAATAAAAGAAATGCATTCAAGGTGCAAATTGTGAGAAGAAATTAGAGGAGCTAATATCATTAGTGAAAATAGTAGGCTTTATCCGACTGCATGATTATTAGGCAATAATATATTTCGATATTTATGATTAAATCATATGCTGGCAGTGCAAACGATGCTATGAAAACATGCCCATATATTCACAGCAGAAAAAAATAAAATAAAATTCTGTAATATTTAGTATAAGAAAAATAATAAATGATACTATTTAGAAAAATACAGAAAATGGAATAGGTTCAACAAATTGGGGGATTTAGTAAATTAGCAGCCATCGGTAAAAATTAGTAAATTAATGACATAATTGTTAGCTACAGCCATCAATATTTAGAGTTTCTTCCACTCTGATATAGTTCTTTAAACAATTGGACGCTTGTTTTACTCACAGACAGCATTATGCAATTTGGAGCTAGACATCACTGTATACTTGTATCATAGTTCTCATACTGTGTGTCGAATGCATAGTTACTGATCAATGATTTCATCATCAAAACCAATACATTAAGAAAATTAAGTTTTGAGGGTACAAAATTGTACCTTTTCTGCTTGTTATAGAATAATGTTAGACCCCTAGTGATGCCAACTGTCTGAACACGAACAACACCTTCTACATAGGTGATCAGTGATGGATTGACGGCAGCAAGAATGGTTGTTGGATCATGAAGATAGACACCTGCATTTAGATTGACACATTGTTTTAAAAAAAGTAAATAAATAAAAATAAAAATTTCATATCCATCTAATTATCACTTCACTCAAACCTTTTGTGCCATAGGACTCGCGATGGTATGAGAAGTATACATCAAAAATTTTGCACATATACCGAGCAAATGTTCCATTTGATGCTTCTAGCTTATCTTTGTCTGCATCTGAAAAGCCAATGAACAAAATGAATTTTACTGATCAAAGAGTCATAAATGCAAGCAACACATAGCAAGATTTGCAAAGTAAAAAATTCTTCTACTGCCTATCCACAAGAAAAGGAGAAAGAATTATGTTCGAAACTCTTGAATATTCAAATCTGTGTTTCAACAGTGGTAGGATCTTTCTCTACAGATTTAAGGAGCCTGTCCCTGAAAATGAGTTGCATTTCATCAAATGAAGGTTATGCATCAGTATTTTATCTTCGAAGTCTTCAAGACAAATTGTTAAGAATAAAAGCTAGTCATTAATAACCAACAAGGCAATCAAATCAATTTCACTTTGGCTATTGAAAAGAAATATAAAAAAGAAAAGATAAAGCCAAATTAGTCGTTTCCAAACAATAATCCCAATTTATGTTGTTGCATCAAATGATGATGAATGAAAGGCTGCAGTTTATTTTGTTTGTGGAAAAGAATGGATAAACTAAACGGCATCTATTAATGCACCATGATTATTAACAAGATAGTAATTTGTCATGAAGAAATACAGAGAAATAGATTTCAAAACTATTAACTATTGTTGCGGTATCCAATCAATAAATAGCAATGCCCATTATTAATAGACTCTATGATACTTAGGCGTCAAGCATCACCTAGACTAGGTTTACTTTCCAACAGCCATTAAAGTGGTAAAAGAAATAAGATCATTGTACATTTGTGTTTCTAAGCCATCAAATGATTCAAAGTAGGGATACCTGTTAAAACAACTTGATGTGTGACATTTATTCCAATAGCCAGAACATCAGCTCCACTAGTGAATACAATATCTGCCGCTTCAGGATCTCCAAAGATCTTGTTAACCAATCAGAACAAATGATGACACAAAATAATTAAAAAAAAAAAAAATCAAGAAAAGCAAGGGACTCACTAAAACGGAAACAAAAATGAAAATCGACTGACAACTTACATTTGCCTCAGCTGCAGGATTCACATTTCCATTTACAGAAAAGGCACCACCAAGAACAACAATTTGCCCTACATTTTTGGCAAACCGAGGATCTGCCTGTATAGCCTGCACAAATCCAAGTCTAAGAAAAACAACACCACAGCAGAGGCAAATGAGAAACTGATTAATAGATTTTAGTGAACTAACCAGAGCAATATTTGTTAGGGGGCCTAAGGCTACCACAGTGACCTCTCCTGGGTGAAGACCCACTTGTTCAATGAGAAACTCTACAGCAGATTGCTCGATCGGTTTTCCTTCTGGTGGAGGAAAGTTTTGATTTCCCAATCCATCCGTACCATGGACAAAATCAGCAATTCGAAGCTTTGTACCTTTCTTTAAGCAAAAAAATTATTTGCTTAATTTTTAAAGTTTCATAGTATTGTGAAGATAAAAAAGCAATATCTAACAAAGTACTAAGATGACAATAGAGAACATAAAGTATCATGCCGGTCCTCGACTAATCTACATAGATTGGCATTTGATGCTTCTTACTGAAGGAAGTGTAATGAATCCAGCTGTCTTTAAGATCCAATTTTCTGGCGAGGAATTGGCCCGACGGGTTTATTAGATTTCACGGAGTAGGACCTATTAACCAATGTTTAAGAGCAAACCTTACCATTGTTTGAGACCTATGAACTCAAACTTGACAGCAGGAGATTTCAAAACATCAAAGAAAGCTTTATACCCTAGCAGCCCCTATCCACCAGAATTTTCTTCAATATTTTCATTGATTAAAAAAATCGAGTTATTCCACTAACACTATCTACATTGCCCATCCTGTCCACATACTCCACTTTCAAGGAAACAACAGGAAGCAATTTTTTCTCCATAATAGAAGGAAGTTCTACACTGAGTCTTGTCTCCACAGAACAGATGAATTATTTTTGAATTAAATTAACTATGCAACATAAGCACCATAAGCCCGTATCAAAAGATAATGGTCAATATTAAAAGAATACATATGGATTTATCTAATCTCCATCAGGATACATACAGTGATCGTCACATGAGATCCTTCAGCCACAGGAATATCTGTCCTACCAGCGATCTCCAGCTGTATAAACATACCACAAAGAGTTGTTCATTGCCAAGAGGATAAACTCCTCAATTAATAGTTAATAATGCAATTAACAGAGACCTAGCAATAGTTATGGATTCATTCCTATATAAAGTATTACTATCTCACACCCTTTTCTATCATATATTGATACCTCAAAAGACCATATTAGTTTCTTGCTCGAAAACACCATTTTTGCATTATTCAACAGCATTTCTATTTTTGTTCCAAAAACCATAACATCTACAGCCTAATTTTCATCATAAACATATGGTTTGTTATTTTGTGTTTTCAACTTCATCTTTTACTATTCAATCTTTTATTTTCCCTCCGTAACCCTCACATTCAACACCAAATTTTCATACAAAACATCACATCAAACAACTATTTTCATCTAAAGATATAAAATAATACTAAGCACAAAATAAAAACAAAAACACAAAAGAATGCACCCATTATATCCAATAATCATTTTCATTTAAAAAATTTCAGCATCCAAATTTCCAGAACAAAACCAAGACACAACTAAAGACACCCACAATTTCCTTCGTCCACTTTATTATTCCTAAAACCATGAAGGATAAATCCATAAGAATAGCAATAGTAAAAAAGTTTCTCAGAGTTGTAATTTTAATTGAATTTTAAAATATATAAATAAAATTGCGTGAAGCAGATTGATATCTGTGTTATCTAATGTTTGCTTCTGAATTAATCGCCCAAATCTCCAGTGGCAGATGATGCACAAGGTCCGTAGTATCTATAAGAATAATTAAATTCAATGAAACAATTTAAAAAACCACGAGTAGGATTAATCACACATATCACCATTGCTGTGCAGTGCTGTGCTTCCAAGCAGCTGAGAAATTCCCTCAATTAAATTAAATTTAATCCAAATTAAAGAGAACAGAGCAATGGAATCAACAACAACAGCAGATTTAGCTAGTTAGTTACCAAATGCAAAGCGTTTCTGGTGGCGAGGGTAGTGTAGACATTGCCGTAAATGGTGGTGAGTCCAATCACTTCAACTTCCGGCGATTTCAGAGCCACGAATATCGCCATGGCATCATCTGATCAACCAAATTACAAAATCGAATCAGCAGTTCTTCTTCATCGCAAATGAACTAATCCAATCGCATAATCTAAAATTACCAACGCCAGGATCGGTGTCGATGATGATCTTCTTGCGTTCCGTCATTGATCAATTATCAACCCGAGAATTAAGTTGTGGAACCCTCAATCGAAATTCAACGGGGAATCAATCTGAATCGTTACTCTAGAGGGATCCAAATGATATGCCAACGAGCAATCAGGGATTTCCAGTTACTAAAAGATGTGTACTTTCATTTCATTTGTATTGAATTATTTTTACCTAATATTTTAATTAAAAATATATTGTCATGGACCATAATATATAATTTATTCTTTTATTTTTTAAAATAAAATTATATAATTTAATTATATTTTAAAATTAATAATCAATATTTTATTATTTTAATTAAATTATTTAATTATTTTAATTTAATCTATAATCATTTTTATTATATCGTACTTATTTCTGCTGGTTCACTTGATTACTTACTAAAATCAATAAATTAGGGAGATTGAGAGAGTAATTTTTATAATAGAAAAGTATGTAAGATAATTTGATATTTTTACTTTTAGAAATTGCAAATAAAATAATGATATATTTTTTAATTAGCATTAAAATATGAGTAGTTTGATATTTATTTATAAAATACTTTTATTACAGTATTAAAAAGAAACGTATACTTTTAGTTTGGATAAATAAAAATGGTATTTTAAAATAAAATAGAAGGAGTATAATATATATATATATTCATAAAATATTACTCTCTTTAGTTTAATTTGTCCACTATTCTATTTTTGTCCATCTCATATAATTTGTCAATTTTTTTTAAATACAATTATACATTTTATTTACATTTTTAAATTCATAATTTATGTATATTTTTATTTTAATTAAACTATTTAGTCATCTTAATCTTAATCTTAATTTAAAATTATTTTTATTTAATAATAATTAATTTTACTAATACACTTCTTAATTACACAATATCTAAAACTCCGTACCTAATCCAAATGGAACAAATTAGCAGAGACGAAAGAAGTATATTTTATATTACGGAACTCTGATACCTCGTAAAAAAAAAAAAAAAAAAAAAAAAAAAACATTTGAAACTAAAATACTAAATAAGTAGATCCATTATTCCCTCTACCAGTCTTTTAAAATAGGGTTGGTTGACTATATTATTAGATAAATAAATAAAAGATGTCGTAAATTTTTTAGGTGATACAGTTATTTACATAATTTATAATGATATCAAAATCTTAAGTTTTAAATTTGTTATATTATTTGTACATGACTATCTAATTTTAATAAATTGGGTCCGGCCAGACATGGCCCTATCTTTGGCCCAAAATTTTTTGGGCCCATTTTTCCGCCCAAATACCAATTTTTTTATGTTAAATTTGAATGGAATTTTCAATATCTGTCTATTTTTGTTCCATCTTGTCGATAAGGATAGTCCCCCAAATGTGACACACGTAAGAAGAGCTGGATCAAGAGTTTTATAGCTACTTTATCACATTAATTCGATCATACTTTTAACAAAATAGTAAATTAATATTTCCTTCGTTAACAAATTTATGAAAGTTTGCAACAACACACAAATTATGAATTAACAGTATTTTAATATTAAAATATAGTATGTAAAAAATGAATTAAGTGTCTGTATGTTTGAGAGATAGATTTTGAAATTTGAATATTAAAATTTTTAAATTTGAATAGTTATATAATATAATATAATATAAATATATGTATTGATATAATATTTTAAATGTAAAATTAATTTTTAGTATAATATATATAGTGAAAAAAAGGTATTTGATTTGATATTTTTGTAGAAATTGTTTTTAATAAATAGTTGAAAGTTGTGGAAGTTTAATAAACAACACACCCTAGGAGTATTCTGAGAATTTTTTTTTTTTTTAGTTACAAATTGGTAATTAAAAGTTGATGGGGGAAGTAATTAAAAAATGTAATGGTAAATTATTACTCTGTTCATTCTAATAGAAAATATACATTTTGTTCTTTTAAAGTGGATTAAGAAATGCTACCTCCGTCCCAGTTAAATTGTCCTATTTAGCTTATGTACGGAGTTTTAGGTATCGTGTAATTAATAAGTGTATTAATGAAAATAATTATGATTTGAAAAAAATAATTATAGATGAAGATTAAGATGACTTCATAGTTTAATTAAAAAATATATAAATTATGAATTTTAAAATATAATTAAAGTGTATAATTATATTTTAAAGAAGAAATGACAAATTACGTGAGACTTACGACAATAAAAATATTGGACAAATGAATGTACAAGTGACTTTTGCCAATTTTTGCTTTTGAAAGTTCAATTTTTTATATTTTTATTTTTGTAAAAGTTAAGTTACATTAAATTGGAATGAAGAAAATATTTGTTAAATTAGAGATAATAGAAAGTTCTTTATTATAAATAGAATCTGACCTTATCCTCTATCCCATTAACACACTCTATAATGAATATAACATTGATTATAAATAAAAATAAATTGTACATGAATGAAAAAAAAACCATAATTCGAAAATACATATACAATTCCAAAAATATAATGGAAAACAAATTACATCTCAAAAATGATAAAAGAATACAAGACAAAGTTTCGGATTCAGTAAGCTTGCCGGCAAACCGGCGTCAAAGCAACAGTGGTAATATCAATATCAATGTTAATATCAAGATTCCTCTTTCCATAATTTATCGCCAGAATATTCAGCTACTGTAAGAGATTCCGAACATTGGGGTTGGAGTTGGGATTGCACCTCATCAGTATTAACAACGACTGAGCTGTCCAAAGACTCCTGATCATGAGTATTTACAATAGTCTCCATCACAGTATTATTATTTCGATTTTGCATGTTAGGATCATCCATCGTCGGCATCTGACCGTGAGGATACCATGGTTGGTCTAGGTCATTCATTAGTCTCTCCCAAGATTCTTCCTAAAGAAATGGTGGGGCAGATCAAGAAAATTTTCATCCAAATCAAGGGTCTTCGCAGCTGCAGGTTGCACTTGCAGCCGAGGACACGATGGCTCTGCAATCGGCTGCTGATCCCATACATTATAATTAGTATTTGCGTTATTCTCTGTCGAATTATTCCTCGGCACATTAGAAGGAGAATCGCTCGGGATTTGGACTTGGGGGCGGTCGTCTTTGGTGTAGGACGGGGAAGCATCCGACCAAACATTACAAGGCGCCATCTGACTACAGTGACGATACAATATCGTTTTATTCATTGAATTCTGCTGCATCGGCATCGTAGTAGTACTGCAATGTTGTCCATTTAAGCCGATTTTCGTTACCGAAATAATATTTCTATTTGTTCCTTTGGGAAGGGAGTTCAGAAAAGTGTCTGATCGAATGAAACTCTAACAACAGTTATCTGGTTTTTGGAACTCATGAGTTTATGACAATAATAATAATAATAATAATAATAATAATAATAATAAAATAAATTATTGAAGGTGAACAGCTAAAACGCAATAGTTCACGTCACACACTATCTCAAATCAAACTCACTCTTGTTAAATTTGATTATAAGTGAAACATATTTATAATATCAAAAAGAATATTTTAGATTATTAAACATTTTTCATATCTCTAGAATATTTATCTTTTTGTTTTTTTTTTCTCTACCATATTCTAAAATTTTCTTTATTAGAAGTGAAAGATATTTATAATATCAAAAAGAATATTTTAGATTATTAAACATTTTTTATATCTCTAGAAAATTCATCTTTTTGTACTTTTTTTTTTCTCTACCATATTCTAATTTTTTTTTATTTTACATATTCTTGTATTAAAATTTTTTTGGAATTAAATATAGTTGTATGAAATTGTTCTTAATATTAAAAAATAACTTAAATGTTTTGTTTTAAGAATATAAATTACATGTAATATATATTTTTATATGAAAATTGTTATAAAATTAGCTAATACATGCATGGTGGGAAATTAGGCCTAAGTTAAATGAATATATAGTTTGTAGAATTTTAACAAAATTATACTGTTCATCCAATTTTTTTCCCCCAAAAACATCAAATCAAACACCTATTTTTCATTTTTTATATTATACTAAAAATTAATTTTACATTCAAAACATCACATCAATACCTATTTATATCACATCATACAACTATTCAAATTCAAAATTTTTACTATTCAAATCCCAACTCAAAATCCAAACTCCCAAACAAACACACCCTAATGAATATATTGGGGTGTGTTTGTTTGAAGGATTTTGGCAGATTTCCACTATTCATCCAATTTTTTCTCCCCAAAAACATCAAATCAAATACCTATTTTTCATTTTTTATATTATACTAAAAATCAATTTTACATTCAAAACATCACATCAAACCCTATTTATATCACATCATAAAACTATTCAAATTCAAAATTTTTACTATTCAAATCCCAACTCAAAATCCAAACCTCCAAACAAACACAAGTTAAAAAGAGAGTTAATTCAACAGTAATAATTCATCAATTTACCCAATTATATTAATAACCTTATAACCTTATCTAGTGGTAATTATTATTGTCTTAAATTATATTTAGACATATTTTATTTTCTAATATTTCATAAATAAACTCATCATATTGTCTCTCATCCATCCATTTCCTAAATCATTTTTTTTTTCTTTAAATCTTATATATATATATATATAATTTCAACCATAGTTGTTAATTGTCTATGGTATTATCAGCCAACCTCTAAAATACTATAGTAAAATAATAGATAGCGGGATGATTGCTATTTAATTTTAAAGAATTTTAGAATATATATATAAAAATATTACAAATACAAATTTATAATGAAAATAAGGATAAATTGATTTTTCGGTCACGTAACTAAACTCATTTATAATCGTAGTCTCAAAACTGGAGTCTGTCGAAAATTAGTCTCATAAATAAAAAATTTTCACACTTTCAGTCCTTCAGCGCTGGAGATGGCTACGTGGCACCGCGTTGCTCGCCACAAATTTGTTACTGGGGATTGATTATAAAACAACACCTTCCTGTCTTGACATTCGTGCCTATATATTCACATGTATGTTAATCAATCACGTGTGATTTCCTTTTGTGCAAATATGTATCAACTTTTCCACCTAAATGAATCATTAATTTTTAAACGCATAAGGTGGTTAAATTTCAATCCATTCAATTTATCTATATGGATGTCTCTATTTTTGAATTAAATAAATAGACAAATGTTATTTTTGAATTAGGAATAAATAATATAATATATTTTATAAATTGTTTGTTTGAAACAATTATGTTGCGAAAAAGTATATCAGTTTGTTTCATATATTATAAGGACGTTGATTGACCTAAAGGCAAGTCAACGATTAAGTAGTTATATGCATCTTTAGTGACATTGATCGTGGTGATATAATTTGGTTATTTGTGTGTGAATAATAGATCTGTGTAAATACTGAGTATTGTTTGGCAGACTACGTTATTGTCAACATTCGATTGTGAAAACAAGTCTATCACTGGTGAGTTAGTAATTTATCCAAAGACAATTTCTGATATTGTTCGATAAATTGTGATAAGATTGCTAGTTTATTTTATAAATTAACATACGGAACATTCAATTTTTTATAGACATTTAGTTGCTTATACGTATTCTTTATTTTTTATGGAATCAAACTCGTAATCATTGAACGTAACTCTGATTTTGATTTGGTTTGAGAAAATATAAATTCATTAATAATGTTTGCTGCGTTTTGACGGTGAAGATCAAATATTTGATGTTGCCAAAATAGCTTCTCTTATATGAAATATTTACTTGATAACATAAGTGTTTATGTGTATTTTAATTAATGTGATTTTTTTCGGCCAAAAGACAGTTGGTAATTGATAGAATGAAATATGAATCAGCGATAAGAATACAAGACAGTTTTTTTTGATTAGGTAAACTTGCCGGCAGACCGGCCGTCAAAGCAACAGTGGTAATTTCTCATCAGTGTTTGTTTGGGAGATTGAATTTTGACTTGAGATTTGAATATTACAAATTTTGAATTTGAATAGTTGTATTATGTAATATAAATAGATATTGATGTGGTATTTTAATATAAAATTAATTTTTTAGTATAATACAAATAGTAAAAAAAATATTTGATTTGGTATTTTTTTTAAAAATTCTTTAATAAATAAATATAAATTTGTGAAAGTTTAATAAACAAACATACCCTAGGTATTATGAGAATTTTTTTTAAATGAATTGGTCATTAAAAGTTGACGGCTAAGTAATTAAAAAATATAGTGGTAAATTATTAGGCAGTTCATTCTAGTGAAAAATATACATTTAATTTTTTTAAAAGAAATAATAATATAATATTTTATTGATTAGTAAAAATATATAAGATAATTTTGAATTTTTCTTATTTTAAAAAAAATACAATTTTTTTTTTAAATTTTTTTGTAAACTTTAAGTTACTGTTGGGACTTCCGTTTGCGGATATATAAATAATAGCTTAATTTTCCTAACAATTCAAACTTTTAAGTGAGATGATCATTAACATCCAATATGTATCAGAGCCTAGGTTATTGGTGTAAAAAATAGAATAGACATAATTTTAAGAATAATAATCAATATAAAATTTATTCAAAATAAAAATAAATAATACAGGAATAAGAAAGCCATAATCGATGAAAATACATAATACAATTCAAAAAATATAATGGAAAACAAATTATATCGGAAAAATAGTATAAGAATACAAAGACAAAGTTTTCTTCAGGTAAGCTTGCCGGCAGACCGGCCGTGAAAGCAACAGTGGTAATATCAATATCAATTTAATATCAAGATTCCTATTTCCATAATACATCTACCGTAAAAGATTCATTGCCGAACCATTCGGGTTGGAGTTGGGATTGCACCTCATCACTATTAACTACGACTGAGCTGTCCAAAGGCTGATCCTGATCTTGATCATGAGTATTTACAATAGTCTCCATCAAATATTATTATTTTGATTTTGCATGTTAGGATCATCAGTCGTCGGCATCTGACCGTGAGGGTTGGTCTAGGTCATTCATTAGTCTCTGACAAGATTCTTCCTCGAAGAAATGGTCCGGCAGACCAAGAAAATTTTCATCCAACTCAAGGGTCTTTGCAACTGCAGGTTGCACTTGCAGCCGAGGACACGATGGCTCTGCAGTCGGCTGCTGATCCCATACATTATAGTTAGTATTTGCATTATTCTCTGTCAAATTATTCCTCTGCACATTAGAAGGAGAATCGCTCGGGAGTTGGAGTCGGGGGCAGTCGTGTTTGGTGTAGGACGGAGAAGCATCCGACCAAACATTACAAGGGGCCATCTGACTACTGTAGGGATACAATATCCTTTGATTCATTGAATTCTGCTGCATCGGTATCGTAGTAGTCGTAGTACTGCAAGGTCGTCCATCTAAGCCGATTTTAGTTACCGAAAGAATATTCTCCGAAATTGAATAGACATTTCTTTTTTCTTCTGGTCGGAACGCAGGCCGAGGCTGAGGCTGAATCATCTCCAAAGACAGTACCCTCTCAAAGTGATTGTGCTTGTTTCTTATCACTTCTTTTCCGGCCTTCAATTTGAGGCGGTATTTTTGCAAATGGCTCGAGATATGTTGCCTTGTCAACCATGGTGTATTCATCGCCTTCTCTATTAACTTTGGCGTAGCTTCTGAATAACAAAAATAAATAAAACAAACCAAAACCTAGTTAGTTAAATAATTGATAAAACCCATCCAATTAAATAAGATTCAATAATTAAGATGAATATGAATATGAATACGAATGTACCATCGATTCCTCCGAGCTGTTGTATCACTTCACAGAACTTGTCGTGGAGCTCATCATTCCATAATACTCTCTCCTTCTTGGGGGAAGCCTCTCCTTGTTCGTAACTACTTAATTCTCTGTCACTTCTTTTTCTCTTGGACGACGACGAGGGACCTGCATGGACGAATTCATGTCCATGCTGCTCTTCAGTCACCAATTTGGGCTGTTGCTGCTGCTGCTGCTGTTTCCCGATCACATATTGCCACAAGTATCTCGCTTCATTCTCCTGGATTGGCTTGGGATAGTAAAATGCAGAATTACCATCCACCATTTGGATCACCTTGCTTTCCGAACCATTGTCGGACATCACTGCATATATATACATAAATCAGTTGCCATACATCAAAACTTAACTAGGAGGTGATTATATTAATTAATTGAGGAGACAGACGATACTTACTTATTACTCTAACATTCATCACAATTGCGACGTAGGCGAGAAATTTGCTAACGTCGAGACCAGGAAGGTCGGCATCGCATATTATCAAGTCGAAATCTTTTTCATTCTTCAGCCGTTGCAACATCCCTTGCATTGAACTACACGGGCACACTGGAGACATCCAACAATTATATCCACAGTCAGAAATCGAAATCCAAAAAACAGAAACAAAAAAATATTACTCCCTGCGCCATCCAATTCTATTTCTATTTCCTTTGAGATCCTATATTCTATATGGAATCTATAAAAGAAATGAAAATAGAAATGGATGATAGAGAAAGAAATAAAATACATCAAGAATAATGCATTGTCACCTAAATAGTTATACTTGAGAAGATAACTGGTCAGAACATCCAAAGCAGTAGGATCCATGTCTACAACTAGGACTTTCACTGGGAAAGGAATAGAAAAATCCATACTCATATTTTGTGTTTCAAGTCTCTGTAAAGAACAACTTCAGATTAGGCTTTTCCAAATTCTCCAATTTGTATTAACGTGCGACTTCAAATGTAAAAGAGTTGTCATTCTATACCTATATATAGACACTAATTATTATTATTATTTTAATCTTAAATAATTTAATATAGTAAATATTTGGAAAAAAAAACGGTAAAAATAAGTTTGTTTTGAAATAGAATATATTGAATTATGAATATTTAATAACAAAAGAAAATCTAAACCCTATTGGATAAAATAAAAAAACGTAAACCCAAATTGGAATTTAGTAACTAACTAACTAACTTCTTTCATTACTTCTTATTCGAAAATAAATAAATTTATTTAAATAAATAAATAAATAAACATACATAACCCAACAATATTATTACATATTTTACCAATACACTTTTCGTTCTAATTGAAATTATTATTTTTTTATCATTTTTGTTGGTTTTATTTAAAAATATTTATTTTTTAATAAGGATAAAAATATTAAAATTATCTGTTAATATTTTGGTCCTATCCGACGCCATGACCCGTGCCCAATTTGTAATCCAAACCATTTAACTCGGATCCAACTCGTTTAAATTAGATTTTTGCTTTCAGATATATAGAGTATCGTTGAATTATAAATATTTTTAATTACCATAAGAAGAAGAACCTAAACCCTAATATTGATTTATTAACTAACTTACTAATTCCGCTGCTGCTCATCCTATTGCTGCTCGCCTTGTCCCTTCCATTTCACTTTAAGGAGTCGTCAAACTCTTATTTACTACGTTTGTATTTTCCATCAACACATATGAAAATTTATATTGGTGAGCTCGGCGGAACCGGCCTCCAAATTTTTGGAAATTGACCGTCGATATACTTTTACTGATTTAACAGTGTTTTTTTTCAATTAATTTTAATATTTTAAAAAATAAATTAGCATAATTATATTATAAAGATATATGTCTACACTAGAAAAAATTTAGTAAAACGGCTGGGCTGGTGCCCCCTCGAGCCTCTCTTTAGATGCGCTACTATCGGTGAAATTAAATGATAAAGTAGGCAAAGATTCATTCAAACAGCTACGTAGACGTAAATTAAACTTGCAAACATCCAAGTCCGGAAGGTCGCCGTCAAAATAAAAAGATTATTTACATGTAATAATATGTTTATCGATGCTCAAATGTTGATAAAATGCAAACGTAGTACACATCAATATCACTACCAAATGTTTACTAATACAATTTAAAGAATACAAGAGAGACACAATCCTGTCCGAAATAATTTGTTATAGATATATATATATATATTTTAAAAATAAATAAACACGCAATTAAAAGTATTTGCAAAATAATTCTCTCTGAAAGCAACTCCTAGGCTTGACATCTCTGGCCACATTCCTCCGGTGTTAGCGCAAGTACATGTAGGTAACAAATAAAAAGAAATATTATGAAAAATAGATAAAATGTGACGTGATAAGTAAAAAAAACAATAGCAAATCAGTTATTATTTTTTTAAAAAATTAAAATAGTAATGAAAATTGTGATTAATTTTAGTATTATTTATTGTTATAAATACATAATAAATTTTAATTCTAACAAAATTATTAGTATTATTATAAAGTATATACTTAATTTATTTATTTTTCCTACACATCCATTCCGCGCTCAGATTCTTCCTCTTTCTCACTTTCAGTACTGTTCCGTCCTACTTATAAAGCGAATTGGATTTTAATTATTTTTAAGTGAATGAGCCAACCACGCGGACTACCGTATTGGAAGTGGGTTAATTCGTATGCCAAATAAATATAATTTTAATTATGTTAGTTTTTTTTAAATTTTAAATAAATTTATCTATTTTTTTATTTTAATTTCTTTGAAATTGATTTATTTATTTTATTTTTAGTAATTGTGCTTATTATAATTAAAAATTCTTACAACCTATGTATTATTACAACAAAAGTAATTATCATTATTCAAATAATACCTATCTATTGTTTAATATAAGAATAATACCTTTTTGAAAGATTTATAAAAATAATACCTATTTATTGTTTAAATATTTTCTATTAACAAATTTTTAATAAAATATCGATCTATGATATTTAAAATTTTGATTACAATTCCAAACACAAATCACTATTATTCACTTTACACGTTTCGGTAAAAATAAATTATTTTTTCATACAAAATATTATACTACCTCCGTTCCGCAACAAGAGTACCATTTGTTTTTTCTACGTAAAATTTTGAATATTAATATTATATTGACTGAAGTTGAAAAGACAAATTCTCCGGCTAGTACGGTGTAATATAAAAATAATGATATTTGTGTAATATATCGTAAGTTGTAATTATATTTATTATGTTAGATAATTAGTACAATTATTAAATTAAAAAATTGTAGTCTTGTTTTGAAACAGACCAAAATATAAAATAATATCATTCTTACGGAACGGACAAAATATTAAAATAATATTTAAATAAAAATTTAAATCAATACCTTATTTTGGTTTATGATTTCTCCATTTTATTGTTAAAGTAAAATAAAGGTTTTTATATTAAAGTAAAATAAGGTTTTCATATTTTGGATTTGTTTATTTGTGTGCTTTTTTTTTTCTTGTTATAGTATTCTTATAAATGTTATAAAAAATATATTTTTCTTTTTGGTTTTTTTGCTTTGTGTTTTATAATAGATGTTTTTTTGATGTCACGAAAGAATTATATTAATAGTATAAAAAATTATATATTTATTGTGAATAATTAATTTTTTTAAGTAAATCAAATACAATGTATGTATTATATATGGCGGGTTAATGTATATATATTGTAATTTTTAAATAATATTTATAAAAAAATTGATGCCATAAAAAAAATAAAGTGAACAATGTCGGACAAATTTGAGCTACACTAAATAAGTGGAGTATTATATAGCACACTTTATTGAGAATGCTTGATAAAATTCAAATTCATAATTTTATTTTCATTTTATCACACCAATTCAATTGATATTTTTAATTCAATAATAAAGTAGTAAAATCAAATAAAATTCATTGTAAATAAAATTAATTATACATAAAAAACTACATAATTGATTGAAATAAATACATATATATAATTTCCAAAATATGATAGAAAATAAATTAAATCTAAAAAATATATAATTATTAATATATTAAACATTTATTAGTTTTATATTTTCTACACAATTTCTCCTAATGTTATAAAAAAAATTTTCAAATTATTTTACAAAATAAACACACATGTCTCTTTTCTTATCTTGCAGTCAGACCGGCAGTCAAAGCAACCGTCCTAATATTGTACCACAAGTTTAGGAGTACTTTAGTTAGCAGATGACTATTGCAAATTTGTACCAGAATTTAAAATACAATTTAATTAGGTGAAATAATAGTAGAATAAAACTCAAATTAATTAATAATAAGGAATCCAAAAACAAATTAACAATTAAGATATTAAGGCTAAATGCAAGTTTTGGGAATTAAAATCAATAACCAAAACAAACAGCACCTTAATTTAATTGAAACCGCTTCCCCGTTCTATGAATGAAATTAAACGCAGATTCCATTTTGAAAAATAATACTTCCTCTGTCCACAAATTAATGTGCTATTTTTTTTTTTTTAATTTGGGACGTCCAACCACTATTGTCATATTTCATTTTTTAAACACAAATTTTACATTTTTACCCTCCATTCATTTATTACTTTTAATGTTTACAATACAATTAAGGACAAATTTGTCAATTCATAACAAAAGACAATCACCTAAACAATCGTGCAAATATACTTTAGGATAATAAAAATTGATCGGAGGGAGTAGTAATGAGCTTAAATAATATTACCGTAATTATCCAAAAATAACAATAAGATTGCGATAAGATTGCATCCTTATTAATATATATAACCCTCTTCCTTGTATAACTTGAATTTGTTTTTCACCAAGACCTCAAACACAAATTTGAATTTGTTTTTCACCAAGACCTCAAACACAAAATATGAGTATGGATTTCTGTATTCCCTTTCGAGTGAAAGTTCTAATTGTAGATACGAATCTGACTGCCTTGAATGCTCTGTCAAATTATCTTCTCAAATACGACTATTCAGGTGAGAATACATCATTGTTGATGTACAACCTCCCTTCCACGTCCAATTCCGTTTCCATTATAAATCCTACTAAATTCCTTCTGCATCCAATTTTGTTGTCATTTCCTTTGTAAGTCCCACATTCTATGTGAGATTTACAAAAGAAATGAGAACATAATTGGACGGTGGAGGAAGTAATATTTTTTTGTTTAAGTTTTTCGATTTCCAATTCGACCGTGAAAATAACTGTTGAATGTGTGCAGTGAACATGTGTAGTTCAATGGAAGGGATGTTGAATTGGCTGGAGAAAGAAAAAGATTTCGACTTGATAATATGCGACGCCGACCTTCCTGGTCTCAATGTTAGCAATTTTCTCGCATACGTCGCAACTGTGATGAATCTTAGAGTAATAAGTAAGTATCGTCTCCTCAATTATTTATTTCAATTAATACAATTACCTCCTAATTAAATTTTGATATGTCGGACTGCATATTCAACTGATTTATGTATATATGCAGTGATGTCCGTCAATGGGTCAGAAAGCAAGGTGATCCAAATGGTGGATGGTATTTGTTCATTTTACTACCCGAAGCCAATCGAGGAGAATCAAGCGAGATACTTGTGGCAATATGCGATCGGGAAACAAAATCAGCAGCAGCAACAGCCCAAATTGGTGACTGAAGAGCAGCATGGACATGAATTCGTCCATGCAGGTCCCTCGCCACCGTCGTCGTCCAAGAGAAAAAGAAATGACATAGAATTAAGTAGTAATGAAGAAATACCGTACGCAGAGTCTTCGTCCAAGAGGGAGAAACGGTTATGGAATGACGAGCTCCACAGCAA